AGGCATGAGGATTATCCCTGGTTATTTTGATGTTCCATCCTAGGCATTGTGTTTGCAGGAGGGATATTAGAAGTTATTTTAAACCTATTCAGGAGTATTACAGCTGTCACTTCAGGGCAAGTATTTTTTCTCCACAGAATAAAATGTAAAAATGTATTAGCTGCTCGTTTGTTTTCAGCACTAAAAGTGTGTCCTGTGGCTGAGGAGGAGCAAAATGATAGTGAAGTAATGTGTCCATTCAGGGTGATCACTCACTCTTGAGTGATGAATCATTTATCAGCCCATGCTTTTGGCATGACCACGGCATGCAGTGCTTCTGTTCAGTCTGTCAGGCTGCCTCAGGTGGGCTTTCTGAGGTGTGGAGACAGAAGCAATGTATACTCCTCATGCTTACATTGCTGGGGGTTTTGGGATTTTTATTTGTTTGTTGTACCTTGCTTCATGACATGCAGAAGTCAGTAAGGTTTTTCTCAGCTGCAGATAGTGAGCTGCTGCCAGGGTGAGATCTTCTAGGGAACCAACACTATTTTTCATGCTGTAACGCAGAATGTCTGCATGTGTACTTTTATATATATCTTGGAGACCTCTTTCAGCTGGACTAAAGTATGGAACTTTTCATGTTGTTCCTCTCTGACCATAAAGAATTTGCAATTACATTTGAATGCAGTGCAAGACTGAGTCAGCAGCATACCTGTTTCTCCACTGATCTGGTAATGGAGCTTCTCAGCCTCAGGTTTCATCTGTGTAATCCTGATTTTACTCTTTCAGGTTATTTTTCCCCATGCATTTTGAATTTCATCCCTTTTTACAGTGGAAAATAAATGTGTGGATTTACTCCATGGCTTGAGCAGTGTGTAGGAGCAAGAAAGGTGTCAGGACTGCTTTTGGCAGTACCTCTTACATCCAGCCCCAAGTATTATCAAACCCTGCATGATGCTCCATAGCCAAGGGGAGGGTGCAGGTGGATGGAGACCAAGTCAGAGCTAACAATCTGGATGGAGAGCATCAAGATGGGAGTACTCAGTATTTGTAACCCAGTTCTCAGCACTGCTCTTCCCTTGTAATGGCAAAATTGCCTTAGATGCTTTCGAGAATCCCACCAGCTTTTCCTTTGCTTACACAAAGACTGTAAATCTTGTTTTTATCCTAGCTTATATCACCAAATCTTGAGATGGCTTCTGCTTTCCTTCCAACCCTGGATTCTGCAACTCGGCATCGAAAGAATGTACCAAAAGCTCAGCTTTCATTTTAGGAACTGGATTTCTTACTGTTATGTCTTTCAATTGAGCCTTTAGAAGTACAGAAAATAAACAAATTTAATACCTAGAGTAGACTTTTTTTAAAGTGAATCTTTTAGGTTTTTAGTAGTCTTTATGATTTGGGAGGGAACAGGCTTATGGTTCATATAAACTCCAGAGCTGGAGGTTCTTGTAAGCTCTGTGGTTTGAAGTTCTTGTAAGCTCCAGAGTCTGACAGCAATGCAAAGTCTTCATTATTTTGTGAGTTCTTTTGTAGAAAGATTTGTGTTTCAGTAGGGAAACATTGAATCATTTGTAACAGTGAGTGCATTTTACTATATTTTGCACCCTACTAAAATTAATGTTATCAAATGATTTCTCTACTAGATGTACAGTTGCCATTTTCCATCAGAGATGAAAGGAAACTTCTACAGAAGTTTCTGTTTCTGAGCCTTCTGTTTGATGATTACTACACAGCCAACTGTTTTAACTGAGTAATGTCTTTTCCTTTTTTCTTTCTTTTGCCTTAAAGGAATTTCTGTCATCAAAAAAGAGAGAACTAAAAGTTGTGAGTCAGAGTATAACTAAGGATTTTATGGATACGTGCTTGTGCTGATGATGTTTAGAAAGATACACATTTGTCAGAACATGTTTATTATTATGCAAAATAGTTCATGAAAGCCATAGCTCCAGGCATGGAACAACTCTACACAAAGACCAAGTTTTACACTTAAGCTATTGATTTAGGCAGACCTAAGTCATTTCTTGGGAAATGTGCTGCTTGAGCTCATCAGATGTTTTGGAGATTTGATTACAGTTCAGGTTGAAAAATCTGTTTGCTGTAAAAGCACATACAGAGCTTTCTGGGATGTTGAGAAAGGAGGCTGATTTCAGGCAGTTTGGGTACCGAGATTTGATTACAGTTCAGGTTGAAAAGTCTGTTTGCTGTAAAAACACATACAGAGCTTTGTGGGATGTTGAGAATGGAGTCTGATTTCAGGCAGTTTGGGTACGATTTCAGACCTCTTTGGGTCTTTTCTGTCTTGAGAGACCAGAACACAGTTTCTTTAGAGACATAAATCTGTAACTGTCTGTATTTTGAATCTTTAGGAAGTGATAGAAGCTATTGCTGAATGTGCATTTAAGACGTCACCCTTTCCAATCCTCCTTTCCTTTGAAAATCACGTGGATTCGTAAGTAATTACCATGTTTTCCTCCATGATGTTATGGGTTTTTTATAAGGTCTGAGCACAGAATTACATATGCACTTGTGGCAGTTTCATTATATGACATGATCAACAGCTCTTACCCAAAAAAGTGGTATCAGACTAAGTAATTCAAGATGATCAGAATGAATCAAGCATGTTCCTAAAAACCTTCCTGAATTAGAACCTTTTGTAGGAAAGAGAAAGTCTGAATAACTGTGAGACAAACTGTGTTAACTTGGAGTCTCAGTGTGTCCTGCTGGAATGTACTGGTAGATCACCAAGGAAAAAGAGGCAATATTTCACCTGCTCATGGCCCTATTCTGTGCACTGCACATATTCTGTGCACAGAATTTGGTCTCTTTCTCATGTGTTACAAGTAGAGGCCAGAGCCATACACTAGCCAGGACTGCAAAATAGGTGGCATGGGTGGCCAGGAACTGTTAGTTTTCTGCCAAAAAATACCAGTTTGCCTAAGCCATTTTGTTGTTCTTTTTTTTAATTACAAAGAAAGGACAATTTTTCTGTGTAAGAAAAGAACAAAATAAGTGAGAACACTTCAAAACTCATCCCAGTTATTTGTTTGTTATGATTATTATTGATTTAGTTCTGTTTTTTCTTTAAAGTTTGACATGAAGTTTGGTTTTGAACATAGAGACTACATAGCTCAAAGCAGGGTGACACCGACACCTCTAACATGTGCCTTAACTGCAATTGCCTTTCCCCCTTTTGTTTTCTGCTGTGAAAACTTTTTCACAGCTTCTGGGGCCAGTTTGGAATGAGAAAATTTTTTTGTTAATGTGAAAAAAAGAGCAATCTTTGGGGCAGCTGTGAATGATTTCATACAAATCAGAAAAGATGTTGGCATTATGCTTCTGGAAGAGGAAAAGGGTGAGGGCTAACTGCTTTTCCATTGTTTTAGGAGGAACATTCTCGGCATAAGGGAAGGAACTGGTAGAAGAAGCTATGTAAGAATGTTTTTAAGAACACATGTGACAATACTGATCAAAAATGATGTAGGTAGAAAAATGTAAAATCTGAGAACTGCCCAGCTCTACCTGTACACCTTACACTATAAGTTGACACAGCCCTTTATAGGCAAATGTGTTTGCTCTGCACAAATTTATAGGCCACATAGTTATGATGCAAACAGCTACCTGTTAAATCCTGCTTAGTTAAGCTCTGTCCTCCTCTGAAAGAGCACACAGGTATTTTGTTTAATTCCTTTCCCTAATCAGTCCACTCACTCCTTTTTTTTTGGTGTAAGTTGTATCACTTTGGACTTGTGTATTCCCACCTCCTGCTGTAGGTTTTAACCCACAAGCACTTGCAAATGCAACCTCTGGTCTTTAGAAGAGATCTCAACCATAATTTTTCAATATATTATGTTTTGTATTCATTCTTCTGTGTTTCTTAAAATATACTTTTGCTGTGTCACTATAAGGCAGAGAAAAAGCAATACCCAATTTATTTCAACTAGAAGGGTTACATTTTTCTTCCTTTAAAGTCATTAAGACTTAAGACTTCAACTATTCCAGGGTGTTCTGTTCTATTTTAAGAAAATAAAGAAGTACATAATTGTATAATATAAACTCCTGTCAGATGTAAGTTACATGCAAAAAATGGTTTTATAACTCTAAGATGAAACATTGTCAAAATTAAGGGTGGTGTGATACTTCAGGAACATGCCAAAAAGGGAACAGAGTTACTGCTGCATTAATCTTGAGATTTTAACCCCCAGAAAATGTTAGATCTTTTTCTTCAGAAAACTTCAGTCACAGAATAATGAATTATCCCCATGTTTATTATTATTTGATGTCTTTTTCCTTGCATTGCTATGGCACGGGTTTTTAGTAAAGCAAGTTTGCAAAAACAATATCAAATATTTTTCTGAAGGCTGTATTGCCTTTTTTTTTTTTTCTGCAGTAGATCATAGATTATTGTGTATGACTTCTAATTTTGCTTTGGCTGAAAATAATTTCTAGTTATTCTACCAACTGCTACAATTATCTCTTCATTCCTTCACTAGTTGCTAGAGAAATCTGCAATTATTCATGCCACTCACAGAAACCTTTGCCTAATTTCATGGAATGATCCTTTTGTCTTTTCGTTTACTTGGAATATTGTTTTCCTCCTAGATCTTAAAACATGGGCTTTGCCCTGAGTATTAACACAAAATGCTAGGTGCTTTTATAGAATAGCTGACACAAAATGCTAAGCCTTTTTTATAGAATTGATATCAAAGGATTTTTTGACTCCAACTTTGGAGTGACCAAATTTTTCTCCTGATTTTCAAGTATTCATGCATGAAATGCTGATCTCATACAAATCAGCAGAAATTTTGGCATTGCCTTAAAGAGAAATATGCTTTTAGCCTGTGTCCTGTATTCATGGCTTTTAAATGGCCTGTGATTATCAATTGAAAACAAGTTTTATGTCACCACCAGAGATGTGACAGCATTACTCACCACTGGACTTCCAGTGCCATTTTTCTTCCTTCTGGTTTATGTTCACGAGAACATTTATAACATTTTGTCCACCTTGGGAAGAAATCCCTTGTTAGCACATAGTGTTAAACATCACATTTTGCTTTCTTTCAGTGTTTTTCCTAGCAGGACTCCTCTCTAATATCTTTATAGCTTGTGAAGAATTTTAATTTCCTTTACTGTAACTCCTTTATGTAGTGTATTTCTTCTCCCCTGTTTTTATATAATAAAAAGTTTAGAAAAAGAAGCAAGCATTTAGATTTTAGACTGTATAAAATACTATGTATACCATCATTTATCCTGAAGTGAAAACATGCACACTGAAAAAAGACAGTAATAAGAAAAGATGTGGTTCTATCAAAAAATATAAAAATGCCCTGAAAATATTGAAAAGACCTCAAAAAGACCTTGATGTTGAAATTGGGCTTGAAAGAAGATAAGCAATCTGCAAATCTGGAAGCAGACACTCTATAATTAGAAATGCACTGATGACATAGCAAAAAGGTTAAGTGATCCTTGAGCAGTATCCATATAAGATTGCTTCCAAGATTAAATTTAATTACAGTTATTCATATTGCTGGTTTCTTGCTGGAATTGTTATTTCAAATATTAACAGGATTTTTTTTATCACTTTTTCTTCCTACACTTTAAATTATTTTAGACTCTTCTGGGAAGCAGCTGCTTCTTTGTCTTAGGCAGAAGAAGGATCTCTGCAGAAGTGATAAGAATGTAATGTTAGGAGCAATAGTCATGCAGTAGTTCCAAAGAGCCTCTGTGACTGACCTTCATAAAAGGCATGATACAAACACAGTAAAACAAAGTACAGGCAATGCACCAATAGTAATGAAAACATTTCTTAATATTCTTTATATTTCCATATCTCCAGGTATCAGGTTCCCACTTTACCTTCCTTTGCCCTGGCTCGTTTTGGGGCCATGTGTAATTAGACTATGTGCTACCCCTCCATGAATGCAGAGCAAAAATCATAAAGCAGATAAAGTCAGCTCTTTTTAGGCAATCAAGTTTCATCACAATACATGAATGCTGAGAAAATTTCCAATAACAGTAGATGTGGACCAGGAAGTATCTACTTTTTTGTTTCCTAACACAAATGGGGAAATAGGTTAATGTAGAAAAATTGGTTTTTCAGTCTGTTGCTCTGGTTCTTAATTTAAAAGAAGGGAAAATAAAAAGAAACTGGTGTTCTAACTTTTAAAATACTGTAATAGTAATGCATAATCTATCCTATTACTAATGATCTGTCTTTTGAAACAATAAGTGTGTATATATATCTGATTGAACACAAAAAACCTCCCACTCAGTTGAATGACTATTCTCCTAAGTATACTTATTCCCTCTTAGGAGCTTTTAAAAATGTCTGTGCATATAGTCCAGTTCACAAAGACAAGTAGTTTTGCAGTGTCAGGGTTTTCCTTCTCTGGTCTTGTCTGCTACTGCAATGGGTTTTTTTAATAGTATTAAAAACTGTTAGTTTTTCACATAATTTTCCTTTTCCTTCTTTCTGCCTCTGGGGTGCAGTGGCATTGGAATTTATACACTAAAGCAGAATTATGTTGCATTACATTTTTCTCTTTTGCAAAAATGAAATTTCTCACTGTGCTCTCCTTGAGGTAAACATGTAATTAAACACAGAAGACCAGAAGAATTTGTTCTAGCTGTCGTGACAGTTTGAAATTTATTAGATTTAACTCTTGCATATTTCTTTTAGATTCCTATCAAAAGTTCATTTTGGAGTTGATGTGCCCATTTAAAAATGCTACTGTCACATCAGATTACTATGATTTTAATAATTGTGCTCTTTTGATGGAAGGACATGTCCTTTAAACTTTCTGGGTTCTAAGAGCGTGAGGCTAATCCAAATATACACAAGTGGAGAGGACTGAAATAAAATCACCTATAATGACCCCTAGACCTATAACAAATACCAAATTTGCTTGCTTACCAAGAGTGAGATGCCCTTATTTTCCTTCACAGTGGGTGATTAAAACAGCTAACACACTGTCATGGCCCGATCTGTTCTTCACATCACCTTCTCCATTGTGGGTTCTTAGCTCCACTGCCTCGCTTGTCTTCATCTTCATTTTCCATCCTCAGCTAAACGTGGCTTTTAGCTTTTTTTTTCAGAATTGGCTGCACGCACAAGAAAGCATTAATGAAATGCTGCAGTGATTTAAACTGCATGCAGCTCTTGCAGAGCTTTGTGGAATAATTTAAAGCCTCCTCACAATACATTGTGTCAGTGACTGAGCTAATGACCGGTTCAGCCCCTATCTGCTTCAAGGGACATCCAGAATGCTGAGCTGAGGGAAATTACATTTTTGGATTCAAATGCCACCCAGCCTTTATCTCAGCTCTGGCTTGGCCTTGCTGACCCCAAGAGGAGCTGCAGCACCAGGTCCTCAGCTGGTAGCCAAAGACAAACTAGACCCAGCAGGTGTTGTACCCTTAGCTGGCAAGAGAAAAATGTGCGAAAAAAAATCTCCTTTTTTCCTATATGCTCAGCTCTATTTTGTCATGAAAAATAGCTCCATGGTAACATATCTGCTTATACCATTCATGTAGCTTCCATGCTATGCAGATTATAATTAACAGTGGTTGAGGAAATTATATTAGGCAATATAAGCCTGTCCTTTAATTGAGATGAGTATCAAAAAAGGAAATTTCTAAAGATACCTAGGCTCAGATGTTACAGATTTTAAACAGGCACATATAACAAAAATACACAGTCATCTAAAAATAGAAAGAGAGAGACTGTAGCACTGAGCTGCATTTTAAGATGTTTTGAGTAATATTTCTGTGCAGTATAACCTTTCTGCAGTCCTAAAACTCCCATCACTGATCTGCAGGAAATATTTCATTCTTTGGTTGCACTTTGTGAAAAATGATAACAAGTAGAGTTTACTGAGGTTCAATTTACTTCTGGAGAATGTGATGAAAAACACTGAAGTATTTCAGTATGGTAAAATTTTATGCTCTTATCTGATTTTAAATAAAATTAAACTTAAAAAAGAATTAAAAAGAATCTGACCATGTAACCAAACAAGCTAAAACTTATCTTTGAGCAGCTGCACTCAAAATGGTGTCAGGTATGACAGAAAAAGAACGAAATCCAAGTGGGGTTGGAGGGTGTGTTTGTGAGAAGAATGCCAGGCATGTGTATAAAGGAACATAAGGAGGAAAATATTTAAACTTTGAATAAAAATATTGCCTGAAAGTGACAAATCCATGGAACAATTATTTCCTTAAAAGTAGCAACTGACAGCCCTGGGTCAGTTTCCACCAAGTGCATGGGAAGATATATTAAAAGTTCAATTTCACTATTATTCAGCTGACTTATTCCTTTATTTTGTGTATGATCCTTTTGATAAGCTCTATCAGAGGTATCAGAATAATTGCACGATATATCTTGGTCCCTGAAAAATTCACAGCAATTGGATCAGGAAATTATATCTAGTTTAGGACTATTAGATATTCTATTACTGCCACTTTCAATATCTCATTAAAACTCATTTATTTATTTCTTTTCTCCCCTTTAGCCCTAAACAACAGGCAAAAATGGCAGAGTACTGCAGATTAATATTTGGAGATGCACTGCTTATGGATCCCTTGGAAAAGTACCCGGTAATGTGGTGTGGTATTCCTCAGATCACAATATTTGTGTGAATTTTTATTTCACTTACATTATTCTTCATATCTGGCCATTCAAAACAGAGTCTACAGGAGAGGTTAAACCACGTGAACTGTTGGTGACTTAAGCATATAATTCCTGATGCAGAGATTGTTCTGATACAGTGAATTGTAATCTTCTAAATGCAATTGATTCTCATAGCTGCCATTTTATGATGGAGGCTTTCAGATTTGAACTAATCCTTATTTCATTTATTACCATAGACATTTCATAAAGCATTTTTCTTTTCTTAAGTGCCCTCAGCCTCTTTTCATTTAATGTTAAGATTACCTCTTCTGCAAAATATGGCTCATTTTAACAAGGCTTATAGAGGTTACAAAATTACCTTGCACCATGTGGACTCTAAGAAATTCCCATAAGCTTATTTCTTTTGTTGTAATAAATTTCTCTTCCTTTTTCTTCAAGCTTGAACCTGGGGTTCCCCTTCCAAGCCCTATGGATTTAATGTACAAAATTCTGGTGAAGAATAAAAAGAAGTCACATAAGTCTGCAGATGGAAGTGCCAAGAAGAAGCTCTCGGAGCAGGCTTCCAACACGTGCAGTGATACATCTAGTATGTTTGAACCTTCCTCCCCTGGAGCAGGTAGGAACTGAATCTACAAATACATTTCTTCTGAAAACACAAATGCTTCATTACAGCTGTAATCCAATCCATTGACATGATTCTAGCATGGTGAAGGTCCACCAGTGTGGGCCTTACTCAGTAGGAAGCCATGCTAAGTGTCATTGATCTAGGAGTCTGTGAAGGCTCCTGGCCAAGGAATCTCTTACTGAGTGGCCTCAGCTCAGTGGTGTGTACTAACATTTGTCCCCAGGGCTTAGGAAGCAGAATGAGCTGCCAGTTCCTCCACCCTTTGTGCCTTCTCTATGTGCCCAAACCCAAATATAGATATTTTCTGTTTTCTCTTGCCTACCATTTGATGCCCTTTCAGACTGAACCCATTGCACAGGAAAACTGCAGTGGTCCTGCAGTGTCCTAAGACCTAGAGTAAGTGTGACTGAGAGATCTGTTCTTCAGGCAGGCAAAGCTCAGCCCACCATTCTCTTACAGTAGCTGGGAACACATCACAGACCTCTGTGCAAAGTGCTGTAAGATGTTCTTCTGTTCCAGAGATGAAACAGGCAAAACTAATTCTGCAAACAAATACTTGTTACCATCAGGAATTGTAAGGAATGTGGCTAATGCTGTACTACATTTGACTTGTTTGTTATTAGCAGCACTTTTAAAATCAGAAATGAAATATTTACTATAATTTAGTTATTTATTTAGTTACCATAACAATAATTACAGTTACTATAATTTAATGCATATATTCAAGTAATTCCTTTGGGATCTTCAGGGAACTGTTGTGAGTGTTGATATGCAGAAATTAGTAAGAGATGGTCTTTGTCCTGAAGAGCTTAAAATCCAACTAGAAAACATGAAGAGAAGTGCAGAGGAAAAGATAAAGATTTGCTCTAAACCACAGGAGCAGATTAACAGCAGGACAAACAACAAAACCTGTGTATCCTGATTCCCAGCACAGTGCCTGCTCCCTGCACTATTATTCTACCTATTAAGACTGAAATTCTAGACTGCTAAAAGCATAGACATTTTTCCCCAGTAGTAGAATACTTATAAAGCAAACTGAAAGCTTTACTGACATATAAGTTCATTACCATTTACCATTTAACAACTTTTTTCCATTGTTTGTAATTTTTTCTAAAATCTGATCGATTGAGCTGAAAATTTTCATGCTCACTGTTTGCCTCAAGCTGTACTGAAAAAAAAAATCCTCCTGTATTTGTGGATAACACTGTTTATCCTGTTTAAGAAGCAAAGAAAGAGTTTTCAACTATTGTGTTAAGAAACTTTTCAAAGGGCATGCTTTGGAGTAGGGCTTGGATTTCAAAGGAAGCTCCATCCCAGTGTCAGGAATGATTTAATACTGTTTTCTTGATTTGCTTTAGACACATCCCAGGCAACAGAAAAATAAGTGTGTGTATGCCAGCTGACTGCTTTCCAACACTTGAAATGAGCCCTGGGCTCCTGACTCTACATTTCTTGTTACCAGCACACAGAGAGAACCCAGTGGCAAAGTGTCCGTGCCGTTGGATTTCTGAGTGCCTGGTCTCACAAAGGGTGACAGCTTTGTCTTCCAGGAGCCTCTCTGTGAGCTTTTATAGGAAAGGACCTGGGCTGTGAATCTGGATGTTGATGGTGTAGCAAGGCAGAAGGGTCAGTCCCATGACAGGGTGTGTAATTTTACAATTGACCATGAATGCTCTGCCTGTGTTACCTGTAACAACCTCTGTTAACTGCAGATTGGGAAGATGAGCACTTAGCAGTTAGAAAGCACTAGAACTGAGGTTGGAAAATTGATGTGGTCACTTGGTTCATCTGTGGCTGCCAATATATATGACTTGTAATCCTTCTGTCAGCCATTGTTTCTCCTTTAGGACTGCTGCCTCTTCTGGAGAATGCAGTTAGTCAATATTTTTTCTCTCTCTGTCACTCAATACTTGATCCTAGATGTAGCATCCTCATCTTGCAGCAAATTTCTGTGGGAGTATCCAGACTGCATATGAGCACTTGATGAGCAGCAATGAATTTATCTGAACAATACCTGTGGGAAGTGAAATAATATTAGCCAATTTTATCTAAGGACAGCCAAGTCTGAGGGAGCTTATGAACAGTTTAGGGCTGACTGACAAGGAACATCCAGAATCTGATTTTTTTAAGAGTACTTTGAATTTTTAAGTATTCAGAGCATAGCTCCAGAGGTTTTAGCTGCAGTTTACAGCTATGAGCACACAGCTTTTCACTAAATCAGATGCCAGTATTCTGTCTGTGAACATAGAATTTTTTTTTTTAAAATAGTCATAATTTTGTTCACCTCATGGAGAACATGATTCCATGGGGCAGTGTTCAACACCCACCAGGACAACTTTCTTTTCACTGCCTTGTGCCTTATGTGCATCTCATTCCTGACAACGTGTAAGGCTGGAGCACTGCAGGCATCATGCTCCTCTGTACCCAGTACCAATTTCCTTCTGGAGCATGAGAGGAGTAATGCAATTAATGCTTACTAAAGGAACCCTAATTCTTAACATTTCTTACTACAAAATGTTTCAATAATCCAACCTTAATGTAATGTTTACATTTAGCAAGTTGGGCATATTATTCAGATAACTTGATTGCATTGTCTAGCTCCTGTCAGAATTACTGCTGATCTCCAGCAGAAAGTTGTGCTGATTTAGCCTTCTTGAGATTTTAAATGAGTTTTTCACAGCAGTGCAAAAAATATGGAGATTTGTGCTTCAGTTGATACAGGCTTCACTGTGTCTTACACTGCATGAGGTCAGATTTAAACTCACATAAACCAGTCTTTTGATATGTGTATAAAATATACCATATAAAAGCTAGGTGGTGGTGATATAGTAGCAATAATTAAAAAAAAAAAAAAAAATATGCAACAAGCTTTGCAGAACAGCTTGCAAGATATTGATGAGGATGATGTTAACAGCAACTTCAGCAGGGCATGATATCTGTCAGTGGAAAAAGCTTTCCATAAAGCTACAGCAAAGCTGTCAAAGCAGAAAAAGAATTTCTGAGATACCACTTGAGAGATAGATTGTCATTTTGGTAAAAAACCTGTATTAGCACAATGAATGGAAGCAAACAGGCAAATTTCTAATTCTGGCAAATTTCTAATTCTAGCAAATTGTTCATTTCTCACTGATAGGATGATATTTTTGTCAGCATAGCAGGTGCTGCAAAGAAAGAGTCACAGGAAGGCAGATAGAGTAGAATTGGCTCCATTATTTAATGATGACTAAAGAGAAAACTGGATGCAAAGTTTCAGGCTCAGTGTATGTAAATGCATTGGCACATTGCTGCTGCAAGCCCTCTGAGGCCATGGCCCTCTGTTACAGGGAAAATATTCTAGCAAACTGAATGAAGTTCATTTTTTTTAAAAATGAAGGGAAGAAAGAAAATGGATTCCCCTGTCCCAAGATGCTGGCATCTGCCTGAGCCTTACAGAGCTAACAAGCTGCACCAGCAAGTGCCACATTTATAATCCATTCTGGCTGTTATTTTAAAGAGGTGTGAGAAAGCAGATTACCAACTTCCTCTGAATTTCAAGCAATGTATAACCTTTCATTTTATTAGGCTCTCAGTGTCTGTCACGCTGCTGAGGCATGGTGAGAGTGGATAATATTTGGGACTCTGCCTCCTCAACCCATGGTAATAGGGATTTGGCTTGTCATTCCCAGCTCTCCTCTCCTAATCACCTTCCAGTCAGTATTACTGTGTTGAAGCCCTGTACCTACTTTGCTCCCTGGTCTCTTTTAGCAAGAACAAGCTACCTGATGGAATGGGTTGCCCAGAGTGGTGGTTGAGGCCCCATCCCTGGGGGTCTTTAAGGCCAGGCTGGATGAGGCTCTGGGCAGCCTGATCTAGTGTGAGGTGTCCCTGCTCATGGCAGAGGGGTTGGAACTGGGTGATCCTTGTGGTCCCTTCCAACCCTGACAGATTCTGATCTGTTTTGGCAGAGGACTTTGGAGCCCTGGTGGCTCGGTGGTTGGACTTGATGATCTTGGAGGTCCCTTCCAACCTAAATGATTCTATGATGTCTCAGCAGTGCAATTTGACTGAAATCTGCCCATGTCCCCTGTTTTTGCACTCTGCAAAATGTGATTTTGCCAGTCTGGTTAAGAGCTTCCCATCTGAAGACTGTCACTGCAAATCCTGTGAGAGCTCAACTGGCTCTTTGCAGTGTGTTGAGGTTCCCTAAGCCATCCCTTGAGCCTGTTGAGCAATCATGTTATTTTCTTCAATGAAACGTTCAGGAAGAGATGTGTTCATGAATAAAAGCCTGACATTTCAACATCTGCATCTGGAAGCAGCCTGGGTAGTCATCATTTGGTTGTGAAAGGCACTCTCATTATTTAAGTCATCTGTGGGCTCCATGTTCAGAAGGGGCCCACCGGGCATGATTCGAGGCCTGCTAGAACAAAGAGGGGTTTCTTTATTGCCTCAGTGGGCTTTGGATCAGCTCCTAAATTGACAGGAGGAACTGAGACAGAATTACCATTTTCTGGACAGTTTGGGCGTGCTGCACAGTGGTTAGATTTTTGAGCTGCCAAAATAAAATTGCCACTGCTGAGGAAAGCTGAAAGCTTTGTGGAATGAAATCCTTGGGGAGAATTGTCCGTGTTACAGGTGTGGAGAGGTGAAGGCAGTGTAAGTTAAACCTGCTTTTCCAGAGGCTTCCTAAGAAGCATCCACACCCACAGAAAGAGTTCCTGAAGAGAAAGATAAGCTTGAGATTCCTAAATGGCTTAATTTCTGGGGCAACCCAATCAAAACAATTTGGATGTGAGGGGAGGCATTCCTTAATTAACAATAAAGAAGCCGTGTCTTGCCCGTAGGAATCTGACATGTACTGTGCAATCCGGAGGGAGGCATAAAATGTGTTTCATTTGGTCCCGTTTAGTCCCGGGAAAGGATGAACCTTACTCATCTTCTTCACATCCCTGGGTCTGCACTGCCCTCAGCCGGTGCCTTTCAGCATGTCAGCGGGCTCACAAGAGTGTCCGAGCACCCGGCCTGCCGTGGGAACTCCTCTCCAGAGGAGCTGCTGCTGTGCACACCACAACGCGTTCCTCGGTGCTGACACCTCCCCTGTGAGCTCCAAACGCTGAGCAGCCAGCACCTGCAGAGGAAGGGGTTGGGTTTGGCTGGGCAGTAAGAAGTTATCAGTGCTGAAGATGGATGAATCCCTCCAGACAGTGTATTTGATTTGTGCTCTGGCAAAAAGCACATGTATCAAGTAGCCTTCTTTAAGCACTGCCACTTGCACATCTTTCTTGAATTTATTGCTGGTAATTGTAACTATTGCTTCAGCCAGTAATTATCTTCTGCTTAAAACTTTTCAGGAGAAGCAGAGATTGAGAGCGATGATGACGATGACTATGATGATGACTGTAAAAAGTCGTCGATGGATGAAGTAAGGGTGTAGATGTGCTTTATGGTGACGGGTCGGTTCCAGCCGCTGTGGGTTGGCTTGTGTTACCAGGAGCGGGGCTACCATCTAGTGGACAGACGGAGGCAGAGCACTGGGAAACACCAACAGCTTTCTGAAGTTGGTTGTTAATCACTTGGGAAGCATCTTTGCTTTGTTTATTTATATTTTCATTTACTGAAGAATAAGAATGAATAGCACCACAGCTGATCTGCTGTATTTAGCATTGTTGGAAGAAAAACTTGACATCAAAAACTTGGGGCTTTATTTATTATTTTTCCAACAATACTGTTAATGTGCTCAGCACTATGGGTGCATAAACATCATGCAGTCCCTGCCCTAGGAGCCACGTAAAAAAGGAATAAATACAGCAGCAGCTCACTTAAAATTTAAATTTTATAGCAAATTCTCTTCTTTACTGTGTGAATCTCCCTATGTGAGGCATTGGCTTCACTACCCAGGATCAGTGAAATATATCACAGCCAATAGAAAACTGGGCTTTGGTATTTGTGGCCTCTGCTGGCCACCCCAGATCAAAACTGCAGCATTTTCCCTTCTCTGTCCTAGGGTACTGCTGGAAGTGAGGCCATGGCCACGGAGGAGATGTCTAACCTGGTGAACTACATTCAGCCTGTGAAGTTTGAGTCATTTGAAGTATCAAAAAGTAAGTAAGCTAAGCGTGAGCAACATCTTGTACTGGAAATTACCTAGCAAGCATTTCAAAGAAAATTCTGGAGACATGCTGCTTGGCTGCTTCTCAGTTAGGACAGAAAATGTTCCTTTGGTATTCAGCCAAATAAATCCATATTTATTTTAAAACTTGTAATAGTCTAACTATCAAACTTCATCAACAATAAACATGCCACCATTTCAAAAAGATTTTTGCAAGTGTTGTACTTGCGTTGTCTTGCTTGTCCATGACTGAAGATCAACTTGAACAGTTTGAGAAGAGTGGTCATAAATACTCCTATGGATTGAGCAAGTGCTTTATATTTTCCCACTGCCACATTTATAGATGATTCAGGGTAAGCAGAGTCTGCCCTTCTCCATATGCAAATTCCTTCTTTCCTGCCTGTGGATGGTATAGAAAAGGCCACAGTTCACCCCCTGCTGGCTTTTGCAGAAGATGTCTTGCCAGGAACACACTCGGTAGCATCCTCAGCAAACGTTGCAGCATCTTTTCCTTTCCTGGTGCAGAACCCCCTGCTGTTTGCCTGCCCTTTTTCACTTTATTTTGACAGGTCTCGAGAAGCTCTTGGGGCTTTTTAGTTAAAGAAGCATATAGCATTTGAATGCACTGTGGATTTGTGGGGGCCTTGGCAGAGGACAGGCCACTGGTCCCTGAGTCCATATCTGTATATGAGATTTTGCATTTACTCATGATGAGTAATAAACACATAAGAAGTTGTCTACCCATTCATCTGAGTGTGGGTATTTATACAGCCATGCACAGAAGCATTCACAAAATCACACTGAGAACTGTGTTTGTTCCCTGTGGTAGTGCCCCTTGGGATGTGTATAATCTCCTCTAGCACTAATGAGAGTTACAAGAACACAGTGGGAAGGAGGTATTCCTTCTGGAAAAGAAGCCATGTGAATCTTAGCAGGACAAGTTGATGCAGCTGTTACAAAACTGTCTTGTGTAGATTCGTTCTGCTCACATGCCTGTGGCTCTCTGATTTTTGTCTTTTCTAAAGAACTGCTGATAAGATTCTATGTCCAGATTTTTTATCTGATTTTTTACTCTTCATGTGACTTTTGATCAATTACACTGCTTCTGTAAATAGAATAATCTTCTGTTTAGGTCAAAAAAAAATCATTATGTGGTAAATGTGGCTGGTTTGTTAAAGCAATGGCCTTACATGATAAATGCTGCTGGGAGGTTAAAGCAGTGGGCACTATAACATCACTTGTGGATTCTGGTCTTAGTCCTGGCCTGGACTCACTGCTGGCCCTTCATTAAATTCAGTGAAGACTAACTGAATAAAGGAGGAGTTAGACAAGGATTGTTTTTTAATTTGCTGCCTATCCAGTTGTTGCCCAGATCTTACTTTTGTTCACCTGACTTCATTTCCCTAAGTGCAGAGCTCCATACTTGTCTTTTATATATTGTCATCATCACTGCGTTACAGTGTTTTTCTAATTTAATGTTTTCTAATTAAAATTTTTTTTTTATTTGTGATCCTGGTGATATCAGTACCTCACTGCTTCTCTCATCCACATGTTTTAAAAGTGCATTTTCTGGTCTTGCATCCAACTTGCTAACAGAAATACTGAACAGCACTGGATCTGTAGCAGTTCCCCAATGACCCTCACTAGATATGGTCCCTCTATAACAGCAAGTAGCTGCAGCTATATTTTTTTCAATGAGTTGTTTGCCCACTCCACAGTGACTTCCTCCTGATAAGATAGCAGTGTAATGTCACATGAGAGAGAAAAGTCTCTCCTGCACAGTCTCTTCTTCAAAAGACAAGTTTCTTAATCCTCTCCAGACACTACAAGGAAATAATTGTTCTTATTTTAATTAGGAGTTTGATTAAGCCCTGGACATTTAGTAACTGAATCCTGTAACAGCTACCAGTTCTGATCTCCTACAGATGCTCTACTTTAAGATAAAGCTGAGAGATACAGTATATTACTATAACAAGATCTAGCACCTGTATTCTAAATAGAATAAACCCACTTATGTGTGTCACTAGTGCTATCCCATTTGTAAGTGGGAAGGATGGAATAAGAACAATCTCAGTGCCTTTATAAGGAGCTGAGGTGGAGGCTGGAAGAGAATCTGGACAAAGAGGATACTGGTTGATGGAAAGGAAGAGGAGCAGTTAGGAGAGCAGTCTTTGGAGAATGGCAAGAATCTTTTGCCATTAGGAGATAACAGCTATGAATAATAGCAGTAATGGTTGCTAATAGGGACCACAAGAATGTCTGAGTCTCATCTCTCTTAGAGGGAGAGAATCACTTTTGGAACACCACAGTCATCCTCTGACTCTTCAGCATACACTGAGAATAGTTTGTAGGCTGGCAGCACATTTTCCTCTCACTTTAGCCCAAACAATCTAGCTCCTCTTTTCTTTGGATCCAACGCTTCCTTTTTGGCTTCCTGTAAGGAGAGCTCCCACCTGTTTCTGCCCTGCTTCTCTGCAGGACAAGTGCTTTTGTTCAGTTTTATCCCCCTCCTGCAGCTTCACAGTTTGACTTGGAGGAGCTAGCCAGGCTGGCCTCCTGGCCATCCCTGGTTTGCTGCAGCACAGTTACTTCTAAAACTGGACCAGAGCATGCCTCTTCTCTGCCTTATGACTTACTTTCCATAAAGTGGTGGGGCTGGAAAGTTCATGTTTCAGCACAGGCACAATTTCCCTCATTTTTGGAGAGAGCAGTGCTGAGATACGTAATGGATGTGGCTTCCCAGCACTGCAGCCCCTCCTAGGCAAGCTATACAGCTGCCTGGGATGAAGTGGGAAGCTGTTATTTTACAGGAGTCCTTCCCCTCTGCACAAAAGTGTAAAGGAAAAAATACTGAAGCTAGAAGGGTCTCAAGTTAGGCTCTCTGCTACAGCATGTCACAGGGGTACATTGGAAGGTGTGTGCATGTCAGGCAAAGGTGAATAACAACTGGTGGCACAAATTCATGTTTAGTCCTGCCGTGTTAAAAGCTTGGGAGGAGCTTTTCACCACTGTCAGGTCAGGAGGTCTGGCTAAATTAAAGAAGTCATATTAGCTTGGGGTTAGGTCTGGAGACCTGCTGGGGCACAGGAGTGTACCTTCAGGCTTGATTAGACAGCAGCATTGCCCTGAGTGTTTGAGACAGATGTGACCTTCCCCTGGCACACTGAAGGTAAGGAGAACCGCCGCAGGCGCAGCTAGCACGCTGCTCAGCTTCATCTGGTACAGACATCAGTTATTACAGCTTCAAACTGGCTCAGGGCCCTTGTATCTGTCTGCAAAGACAATCTAGAGATGCAGCAGAGCCCTCTGTGTTCCCCACCAGAGCTGCTACAGTACCCCTGCTTCACACCTGTGAGCTTTGGGCTCTACCTCAAATATGCCAGTAAGGTATTTTGCAAGGAAACACGACGGACCTCTGCCCGTGCACTGACTTTCTGTTGCCTCCAGCTGGCTCAGCAGCAATCTCGGGCAATACCAATGCTTATGGATCATCTATGATTTCATGCTCTAACATCTCACTTTTTATTTCCCCTTTAAACTTTCAGAACGCAACAAAAGTTTTGAAATGTCTTCCTTTGTGGAAACTAAAGGGCTTGAGCAACTTACGAAATCTCCTGTGGAATTTGTGGAGTATCCTTGACTTTCAGAAAGCTGCTTCCTTAGCCTTTCTACGGCTGAGATCTGTCACAAGGCTTTATTGAAGTTTGCAGACAGGAGCTGGGGAAATAGGGAACTCAAATGAAATTTGTAGATTTGACTGTCTTCCTAGATGAGTTAATTGGCCTGAGTTCTGATGAGCTAATTTAAAAGCTGGCATAAGTCCTCATGCTGTGGGCTAGGACTAGAGGGAATAGGCATAAACTACATATTGAAGACCTGATACTTTGTATTCTCAGTGTTAAATTTATCATCCTATACAAGGTGTTAGGAATTATGGTGAGCAAACTGTCAAAATGTGGCTAACTTGGATTTTTGCAGAGTCACAGGAGGAAGCTTGCTTTCCCATCCTACCTCTCATTCTAAGTGCCCTGAGGTGTTTTATTGCCACACAATTCTTTTTATAATTTTATTTAATAACTTTTAAAGAAAAGCTAAGGAGCATTCTTTTTTAGACCTTGTGATGTTTCTCAATATCTTTCATCGTGGCTACCATTAAGAATGAATGGTCAAGATAAAATAGTGCTTTAAAGAAGATTAATGGAAAGCTATTTCAACATATAACCTGCAGCATGTTCTCATCTCTGAGATTTATAGACTCAACTGCAAGAAGTGCACACTCATCATTTCTCTCTGTATGTAGAGGCCAATTCTAATGCTCATTCCAGAACACTTTTTAACTGAACACCTTTCCCCACTTCAGATGAAGATTAGCTGTTTATTTTGGCCTCTATAAATGCCATCTTAGGAAACTCCCAAATTAGTAAACATAATGATAAATGGAATTTTGTGAATTATGCCTGTGCTTACTCTATGTACAGGAACCAACAGCACCTTTAATTACCCTGTATTTATCATACCTCCTGCAAAATTGTGGACCTCTGGAAGAATTATGGTTGCACAAATCCAGTAAGAAACCCACTGCCACTCTGCAAAGAGCATCTACATTTAAATATTGCAGTTTCACCTCTCTGCAAAGTGTTTTTTCTGTTACATGTACCATATCTTAACTACTCACCGTTCAGATACAACAAAATGCAGCTAAGTCGAATTTACCCCAAGGGAACACGTGTAGATTCTTCAAACTACATGCCACAAGTCTTTTGGAATGCAGGCTGCCAGATGGTTGCTCTTAACTTCCAAACTGTAGGTAAGTCATTCTGGTCTCTGGATTTTGTAAGGTGTATTTTTCCACTTCTCTGATAAAGCCAGGAAAGGCTTTAGACATCAAAAGGGGTCTAGTGATTGAATGTGCTATTAATTAAAGGTTTTAGCATGGTTGGTTGTTTTTTAAGTAGGACTATTCATAATTACCATGCTGTAGTTTGTATAATATGTAATGCCCTCCATATTGTCATCATTTCTAAGTGGTTGCTATTGATCAGCATTTTGGATCTGGCAGGGATTCTTTTCCCTGTGTCTTCCAAAATCTCCTTATATCCAGACATTGAGACTTAGATAGCATATTCCATATTAAAAGTGAGTTTTTAAGAAACAAAGACATGTGGGCTTCTATATGCACAAGTGAATTTTGAAACAGAATATGTTGTCTTCCAAGGCCATGTCTGTTCCAAGACATACAAATATTTCCATCTATTGCATATCAAGAGATATCCTGGCCATTTTCCACCTCTAAGCACATGGTACCATGGCACCATTCCCTTTTTCCAGTTTTGCCCATGCACCTTTCCATGGAAAGCAAAACCCCACACAGGCTGGGAGTCTGCAGAGTAATAAAAACCAACTTGGGCCAGTTTCAGCCAAGTATCAGGCACCCAGTGTGTGATGTTAGAAGGGTTTAGAAACATAACTACTCCACTGGGTTGGGTGAAAGTCTACAATCAGTACAACACTGAGGGACTCAAAACCTCAGTGTCAAGGCTTCTTTTAAAATCTGAAAATGTCACCCATTGAATATTCTCTGAAAGATGTGTTACAGAAGTCTTATTCTTGTGAAAAGAATCCAAATGGGTGGCCACAAACACATCTGAAGCATCTAAAGCTACAGTGTGCCATAAATAGCTGTTTATATTACAGTCTGTTGGAAATCACAATAAACGTTATTATTTTATCATTCTTCTAAATTATTATCTCTCCAGAACATAATCATTATCCTTATTTTTAACACCTAGATTTGTCTATGCAAATAAACATGGGAATGTACGAGTACAATGGCAAAAGTGGGTACAGGTTAAAGCCAGAATTCATGAGAAGACCAGACAAACACTTTGACCCATTTACTGAAGGTATAGTGGATGGAATAGTAGCCAACACCTTGTCTGTGAAGGTAAGTATGCAGCTGGTGAAAATGCTCTTGTGACAACATCAAAGCACACAAATACATCTGTCATGCAGTGGCCTAGCAAATGACTATGCTAAGCCAAGAAAATAAAATTAATTTCATTTCATGGAGTGACTTTTCATGTTTAAATTCTGCCTCACATTTCATATTGTGGGATAAATAAATGGATTTTTATTGTCTTGTTTTCCTTTCCATAGAAGTAATGGGGAAGTGGATGGGTGTAAGAGTAGTATGGCTGTGATTTTAGTGACAAAGTGCTGAATTTAAAACATGTTGTGATGAACTGGTAGATTGGACTGGAATAGCTAGAACACTGCACTATTTAGTATAAATAAATTTTCTGGTTACCTATAAGTTCCCCAGCAGAACTGTGGAACTATAAATGTCAGCTGTGATTCATTGCCAAGTGGCTTTTCTTTGTTCCTTTTTAAGGACCTCTAATGAAGTTCAAGGACTGACAGGAATCTGCAAATTGAGAACTCCTCATATGAATGTTTAGAGTGATAAATTGCATTGGCTATGACAGGATCACAAATTTATACTTGGTATATCTCTAGTTACAACAATATAAACTTTCCAAAATCCTGTTATTCCCTTAATGGACTTGTCCATTAGAACAGCATCCGTATGATAGAATCCACCTGCAAAACATCCTCCTGTTTTCACTGAGAGAACACAAGTATTTCCTCTCAGGCTGCAGACACAAGCACAGCAGCACAGTGCTGGGAGGGAGAAGAATAAAGTGATAATCTGATGGCACGCCTGGTAAAAATAAAAGGTGACTGTGTGTGAGAATGACTTTTGTGGTGACCTGTAATCATGGAAGCTTTCAGCTCCTCCTGTGGGTTTAGAGGCACTTTGTTCTGCAATTTTAGTAAATGGAGATGGAAGCCATTCAATAGCTATTAGGAGAGGCACAGCATTTTTAAGAGCAGTGAGCATCCAGGCGTCCCCAGACAGCTGTCAGAAGGCAGCTGCTCCTGCCTGCTCGGTGAAGCCTCTGCTCGTTCTAACCTCAATGTCAGTAATGTCAATACAGGATACAGCTGAGACTGGATCAAGATTTGCTTTAGGCAACCTTCAGTTTGTTAAGGTGCAGTGACACTGCTACATATTCCTGCACCTCTTCAGTTTTCTGGGGTAGCTGCAGGTATTTTTAACTTTTTAAAGCTGAGAGTTGTCTTTTCTGTTAAAAACAAGAACTAGAAAAGATTGATTATTTTATAGTTGGTTTATTCTCATAGTAAAACTCCTTAGTCTCTGTGAAGAGCCTTTGTTAGCATACCAACTTTTTAGCTTGCTTTCTCCCTTGCAGTGAAATGCATATATAATATGTTTCTTTGCTGCTTATACCTTTTTTCTTCCAGCATTTTTTTGAACCTGTTGTTGAAACTGGATAGAAATTAGAGTTCCACATGTTGTGGAAACAGGCAGCCAGATTGAGGGTGAGATCCAAACGAGTACTCCTGCTGAGGGAAGGGCAGCAGCATGATCTCAACCACATTATCTCTCCTAGGGGAATTTGGGACCACAGGGTCACAGGAAACCAGACCTCCTAAGTTGTTTTTCTGTGTCTGCAATATTAAACAGTGTGTTTTTGTTTATTGTGGTTTTGATTTTGTTCTGCTTTTATTTTAAATGCATACTATCTGATCAGTAATGCAAACTACCCTTCTGTATTTCAGCCACTAATTTCCTAACCCACCCCAAGGGTCTCTAGTGATCCTCCTTTGTTCTGGTCTTAGATCATTTCAGGTCAGTTTCTTTCGGATAAAAAAGTTGGTACCTATGTAGAAGTTGACATGTTTGGCCTACCTGTGGATACAAGAAGAAAAGCTTTGAAGACCAAGACCTCTCAAGGCAATGCAGTTAATCCAGTCTGGGAAGAGGAAGCCATAGTGTTTAAGAAGGTCAGTGGAAGACTCGCTTCCCAAGCGTGCATTGTGCCTGTTTTATCTCCTATCAGGTGCTTCTGTGGTTGACTGAAACTTTGCCTCTCTTAGAAGGCAGAAAAAGAGACTCTAAAGAGTTATTTCTTGAACTGCTTATGGTTAACCACTTCTGGTGTAATTGTGCTACTCTAGTCATAAACAACTGAGTTTAAAGTCACCTTGATGGTTTCTGCGACGCGTCGATGGACTCGCCTGCGTGGCACATTGCAGTGCTGCATGGGGTGGGTCAGCTGTAACAATCTGGCTGCCCAAGCAAGCACATCCAGAGAAATCTCTCTGCTTCGTGCTGCATTGTGCTAGAGAAACACAACCTAGGGGATGGAACCACCTAAATCCCACACGCTTGAAATGAGGCATGGGCTCCAGAGCCACTCATGCAATTTGAACAATGCTATTCCAACTCAATTTTATCAATTTTAAGGGAGCAGAAATTGCTGAGCATGTGCACAGTGGATATCTTACTGTGCTTCTCAGTGTACTTGCAACCAGTTTTTTAACAGAATTTCTGGGTTTTGGTTATTGAGAACTGTTGTTAAGTGGGTCCTGAGCCCAGGTGTTGTTAAACAATTTCTTTCATATTCCTCTCAGCAAATGTAGTTCACAGAGATGTTTATAGAATTGATACTTGCAGCCCTGCTTCCTAGGGAATACAGCCCTTTTCCCGGAATATTTGGCCTTCTGAATGACTTTCCTTTGGCAGCCTGCCAGAGCTTAAGTTTGGAAACATCACCAGCATTTTTCTTCTGTAATGAACTTCTAATTAGTGTACTTCATTCCTCTATTTAGTTAACGATCGTGCCCAACTGGTTCTGTGCTCAGAGAGCCATAGATGGCTATTTTTAGTGATGTTGAAAATAAATTAGAGAAGCTCTTAGTTTTGAGTTGTTGTTTTGGTTTGGTTTTTTTCTTTCATTGTCTAGTTAAATTTTAGCATACGTTCTGAAAAAAATGCCTACCTGTGCCCAGGTTAAAAAAATGTGTATTTCCAGGTATATTTGCATTAAGTAAGCAAATGAGCTGAATTATGCTATGCATTTTTTTAAAGTAATATTAAAGATTCTTATGTAGTAGGGTAGTTTAAGTAACCTTTTTCAATGTCTTTTCTTTTTTCACTGTTTGGCCTTCCTTCTTATGTAGTGCCAAGAAAGCATCCAGTGCTAGCAAACATCCTGCCTGATTAAATCTCTTTAGCCCAGCCAGTGAGTCTACTGCAGGACTGGAAAATTCTGCTGCGGTTTATACGGTTCATGTAATTCATACATTCCCACTCTGCAAAACAAGTTGAGTTGCTTGTTGAGTTTTCAAAGCTAATATGCCTATCAGAGACTTTTCTTAAAAGTAAGATATCCCACTGGCACAAACACAAAGCAAAAGAATCATGTAGGGCTGTGAGTAATAAGCAGGAAATGGCAGCGTTTAAGTGTGATAGGAGTTGAGCTGTTATAGTATTATTGTATCATAATGAGGACATAAGGTCACATTGCTGGGTTCAACCTACTCGTCCCACCTCAAGTTTCTTGACTGATGAATGTTTCTCTGAGTGTTATTTTGACACACAGAGACATACAGCTTGACCTCTTATATGGTAAGACCTTCCTATGGATGTATAGGTGTTACTGGCTGCTAGATTGAACTTTCTGTCTGGTCCATAGCCCATGTCAGGAAGGAGCTGTTTCATTCAGAGCAGAAAGTTAATAATGCAACAATATTGCCTTCTAGGTCGTTTTACCTTCCCTGGCATGTCTGAGGCTAGCAGTGTATGAAGAAGGAGGGAAATTCATCGGCCATCGGATATTACCAGTCTCAGCCATTCGACCAGGTAAACTTTTCTCTCCACTGAGAAGGGTGTTGTGGAGTGAAAAGAAGCAGCAAGGCAGAATCCCAGTGCTGCAAATCACTCTGCACACTTATAGCAACTGGGGGTTTGACTAATCTCTCTCTACTCTGAAAACACTGTATTTCACCTGAAATGTAAGTGAGTAATGATCCAGGAAACCAATAGAATTAAGCATCAGAGGCATAGCTGGCACTTACTGGTCTCCAGTAGATCAACTGCATGCTCACAGTTCTATTCTAAAAAGTGCAATTGTACAATTTTAAGAGGAAAGAGGGCAGCAATGGCCAATTTTGATGCCATCTTTGTGAGAATGGGAGATTGCTGGGAATGAAAGCAAAATTTGCTCCACAAATGTAATTTCTACGTGCACACAAGGACTGACCTATATGCAAGCTGTTATATCTGCAAAATCTTTAAATTAACCCAAAATTACTTTCAGTTTTATTGCTGAAAATTAAAAAGAGAAAAAAGAATCATTACCGTTCTCTTTCAAATCATATAATTATTTCTATTATAATTAGTGGCTACTTAACTGAAAATTGTCTTTTGTGAGAAGTCAGCCCTAGTTTTCCAGGCCAGAGACTTGTTGGAGATGACATTTGAGAACAATGCAGAGACATTGGCATCTTGAGCAGCAGAAGTGTCCGACTTCACCAGCAGCTTTGCCAGTGAGGGGAGGGAGCTAAATTAGGACAAGCATATGGGCCATAAATATGCTCCTAGCCTCACTCAGAGTGGAAAAGGAAGAATATCTATGTCTACTTTGTACCTTATCTAGCCAGTCCCAGCAGTAGCACAAAACTGTCCCTGTATCTAACAGTTGTTGCCATTATTATTCCTGGAGACCTGGTCTCAGGTAATACATAAATCCCTTCTCTTGTGGCTGGTGGTGTCAGGGCTTTTCTAAGAAGAGCTTCAAGAGGTTTTGTCTTAGCTGGTGTGGGTCTCATGGCCTCACTGCTAGCACAAACAGACCGTGGGAGGTGGCTGCTGGGCGTGTCACTGCTCCAGGATTTCCTATCAGTTGTCACTTCTCTTTTCCTTCTCCTGCCCTTCTTTCTACCCTGCTCTTGGCCATGAATCCCGGGGCGTTCTGTTGTGCCAGCTCTGCCAATCTCCAACACCTTTTTTTTGAGCTAACTCAGTTTAATCCAGCAGAAAACTCTCCACTGCTTCCTGCTGGCTCAGTGACTGTAATTGCCTCATGGAGGATCTGCCCAGCTCCACAGGAAGATACGTGATTGCAGAGGAGAAAGTGGGGTGTGAAGGATTTCCCTCTTCTGGTAGAAGTGAGCTCTTACCAGGGCTGATCCCCTTGCATGGCACTCACAGAGTCCACTCAGCAGAGCACTGAATCACTACCTGTTTTTAACCTTGTGCTTTTTAGAACAAAGTCCACTGTGTTAAATCATACAAGGACTTCTGAGAGCTTTTACCCTCAGGCCTATCTTCTGTCCTTTTGACTCCAATCATTAGTTTACAGCATGTGATGGAGAGCTGCATGTTGATTTTGGTTTGTGTACATGCTGAAAATTTCCTGGAGGAGCTTGAAAGAACTGAGAAAGCTTTGTAATATATAATTTCTCTCTTTTCTGAGACATTATTGAAAACTGTGTCATACTGTCACACAAATCCACAGATTACCATTATTCCCAAAGCAAGAATTTAACCATTAGTTGAAGAGGGAGTTGTTCACATCAGCCAGGTGAAAATCCTCCCAGATAAGCACATCCTTCTCATGACTTGAGTCTTGACACTACCCATATGTGCAGCTTCATAATCACGCCTCAGAAGAACAACTACTGCCACTGTAATGCTGCAAGAGTTTGTTGGACCTGGAGGGCCTTTTCTGCCACTCCTACTGTGCACTTCTATCACTGTCTTTAAAATGGCATTAATACACTTGAACTTGTGAGATATTTTGGGGAGCTGAATTAATGGAAGACTTTGAAGTTTCTGAACGTTGCACTTTCTGGAGTTTAGCTTGCTGAGCTGCCTATCTGTAAAGTCAGAAAAGTGTTAGTGAACAAGAGAAAGAGAAAGACATGGTGGTAGGTAGCTGGGAGGTATGGATGGGTTGGGGCTGCCTCATCTGAGGTGCCATCCAACTTGGGGAAGCTGCACTGTAACCTGTGCCCTCACTCCTGCAAGACACCCAGCTTTCAAAACAGTCTGAAAATCCTTTTTTTTCAGATACATTTTGAAGGTGGGTCATGTGGTAAAATTCATACACACACAAACACTTTGTAGATATTGTCTGTTTTTTAAAAGAGACACTGTGTTGTGGAAGGACTGTTACGACTCAGCTCTACTTGGTTGTTCAGATTCTACAAGGGTCACTTTTGAAAATGAAATAAGAGCTATGAAACTAAAAACAAAAAAATCCAGTCAAAGCTAGTATAATAGAACACATCAAAAATTATATAAATTACAATTTTTAGCATTATTCACAGATGTAAAAATAAAGGGAAAATACTATTTTAAGCTGCAGTGACATGTCCCTTTTTAATAGTGCCTTGTCTATACACTTATCTTTGAAACCCTTCTGGTAAATTTTCCACACCAGAAATCCCTGAGGTTGCTTGCTCAGTTAGAGCCACACTATAAATAACAAATGATAACAGAACTACACTGGCTATGCCTGTGGAAGAGTTTATGCTCTGAACTGGTGGTTTCTTGTTTTGCAGGCTATCACTACATCTGTTTGAGGAATGAGAGGAACCAACCATTGACACTGCCAGCTCTCTTTGTGTACATAGAGGTCAAAGACTATGTACCTGATACTTACGCAGGTAATTGTGTGACATTTTGCTGCTGGGGAAGGTAAAGGTTCATTGAAACACAAAATGAAATGTGTGTAGATGATTTGCCATGTTGGGACAATCCTGTGAACAAACCCCTGCATCTGATGGATCTTTATGTCTCAGCGCTCATACGAGCTGGAATCAGCTCTATACAAGGATAGATTTAAAGGCCACACTGTGCATTTTCAGTGAGAAACAGTAATTTGTATAGCTGTTTTGATTTTTAGGAAGAACGGACTCTCTATACCTCATGTGAAGCAGGATCCTAGTTGGCTAGTGCTGTAAGCTTTGAATATACATCATAAAACACTGTGCAGAAAGTGCACATCTACGAGACCCAAGCACAAACTCAAAGAGGGTTCTTGCAGAGTATTTGACACGATGGTGTACTACCCTCCACTGTTGTTTCTAGGACACAGGAGTACCTCTCAGCAGCAGATGTGTACAAAAAAATACTGTCTATTTCATAAAATGGGAGGAGCAGTGGAACCATAACAATAAGCTCTTTGAAACTGAAGTATTTGCATTATTTCTAGATGTGATCGAGGCCTTATCCAATCCAATCAGATATGTAAACTTGATGGAGCAGAGAGCTAAGCAGCTGGCTGCACTGACTCTGGAAGATGAAGAAGAGGTGAAGAAAGAGGTAAGGGAGGTTTCAGTGTCTCTGCAAATTATGTTATAGTATTTAAAAGCACCTATTTTGTCTTAGACAAATACCAAAAGTCCCCAGGAATTGTCTGTGCTGTTTACTGGAACACCTGTAAACACCTTACAGTTGCAAGTTACTGTTCAGAGGTAAAGAAACACCAGAAGCTGAATGAAACCCCATGTTATGTGTATGCTAATTTGCAGCTTTGTTACATTGTATATTAAATATTTGTAAGTCATTGCCTATTGCTTTCCAGGGTGATGCTGAAGTTCCCCTTACAAAAAAGACAACTCTGTGTCAGCAGCTTTTCCTGAAAATATTACAGATTTTCCAGAATGTCAGGCTCTGTTTCTAGAGAGGTTATTCTATTCAGAAACATTTATGTATCTCAGATTATGATGTCTTCCTAAACTGCCCTCAGCTCTGGTGCCTGTCTTCTTCAATTCTCAGATGTGCAAACCTCATTGAACTAGATTTTGTAACCAAGAATACATTCCCAAAGCAGACCAGAGGAGTGAAAGTCATTACAATTCAGTGGCCAACAATTTACTCTTTGTGCAGTGTCACAAGTTCGGCTGAATGAGGACACTATGAAATGCTCTATAGTATCTTAGACATTTATCTAGGACACTCTACACATGAGGTTCTATTTTAATAGCAAAGCCTTTTTTTAACATAATCCTTTAAATACCTTAGAGGTCATTTTTACTTTTGAAAAAGTACATTTTTTTTTTCCTGGTCTACGCATGCTTATTTGATAGAAAAATTCTGTCACAGAGTATCTTCTAAAGCAAATGGGAAAAAGGCAAGATAAATTGTAGTGCTATTATATGTCAAGGAGCTTGAAAGCCCATAGCATAAAGGAGCTTGTTTTGGAGTAGCAGAGGAATATTTTTTAAAGGAAAACTGTAATTATTGTAGTGGTGCATTTGCTCAAAAGGTACAACCAATTCAGTTAGATGCATTAGCAAGGGCCAGGTATAAAATTGCTGCTTTAGGTAGCAATCTAAACACCACCACTGTTACCTTCTGTTTATAACCCCCCATTCTGGGTAAGATATTTGGAAGTCTTGATTTGGCTGATCATGTGATGGGATGACATTTCTTCATCAGGCAGGCAGACTGTTTTCCTTACCTATGAGAATCACATCAGTTAATAATTGAAAATACGTTCACTGGCAACATAGTTAAATAAACCCAAGTATGTTTGCCAGAAATGTACACATAAGTGCACCTGGATTGGATTTTCCTGTCTTCAGATTCACATTTACACACTATAAATGTTTGTGTGCCAAGCTGTGCTGTCTCCTGGCAGGCTCCACCTCCCTGCACAACTCCTTCCCTTCCCTCACAACTTTTTATTTCCCTTCCCTCACACATATTTATTTATCTGAGCTGGGTTCTTGCAGCTGTCAAAGGAAAACAGAGTTTTTTCTTTGCTGCTTAGATGCTTCAGTTGATCTCAGTAAGATGTTCCCCATGCTTCTTGCAAAAGAGTAGTCAAATAAGATACTAATAGTGAATTGTTTTGAACAAACAAATTACCTTTTCTCTGGGCTTCAAATTACACTGCCTGTTAATTACCAGGGCAATAACATAAAGGGAGAATGCTGAAGAGCTGTCAAAATTTACACCATCTTTTTTTGTATTTATTCATTACTGTGAGGGTGACAGAGCCCTGGAACAGGCTGTCCAGAGGGGTTGTGGAGTCTTCTTCTCTGGAGGCTTCCAAAACCCACCTGCACACCTTCCTGTGTAACCTGCCCTAGGTGAACCTGCTTTGGCAGAGCAGCTGGACTAGATGAGTTCCCTGCCAACCACCACCATTCTGGGATTGACCTGGCCTTAGAACAGCTGTTTTTGCAGGGTGGAAGCATGGTAATACCTACAGTGTGGGTTTTAACTCTACTCACCTCAAAGCATTGTAAATCTTTGAGCATACAGGTTGTTGCCTTCTCTTCCCCTGCCTGGTGTCCTTTACAGACAGGACACCAGGACAGGAGGAATGAACAACAGAAATTTACAGAATGTTCCTTGGGATGAATTAATCCCAGCCTAAATTAGATGGATGTTTGTACATTTTTGCTTCCCACCCCAGTCAGAGGAGCAGAACTGTGTTAGGGGTCTAGGAAAAGCTAGCCAGAGCAGCACAGAGGAGACCTCCCAACCCCAAAATGTTGCAGCTTTTCTCTGTAGAAATAAAAAATAGGCCACATAGATATGTAACTGTATGAGTATGTATCTTTCTCCACAGCAAATATATTGTCTTGCAAAAGACATGGCAACATGTGTAATATGAACCATTTTCTGTGAATATTAAAACTATAAATTAAAAGGCTGGATTACATCATGTTTTAAAAAGAGCCTAAAATATTCCCCACTAAAGAAAAATCATGTTTACTTTGCCATTCTCTGTGATGAATTATGAGAAGAGAAAGTGCTTTTTAATGAGATTAGATTGCTTGGTGTAGTGAAAATTAGTCTTTATTCACTTCCTGATCCTGTCTCACATTTCTGTTTTTTAGTTTCTGAAAACAGCTGTTTTATGTCCCAAACTGACAGGCTGTATTAATAGCTTCTCAAGAAGCTGTGATCCAGCATTTAGCACCACATACAAACCTAGTCCCCAAAAAAGAAGCTAATACCCACTTTCCCATGCAATGACTTTGGGGCACAAACTGGCCAGAAGTCAGGAATTCCAGCTTTAATTTTATTAAATGTTGATGTTCTCTATAGCAAACATTGTTTTTATTAAACTAATTGAATCCTGTAAGGATTGTATTTTAAGGAGAACTCAGGGGTTAACTACGTTTGTGTGTCACAGCTACAGCTTTTGCCACTCACATTGTTCCACTGTCATAAGTGTTGGCTAGATCATGGTTTTCCTTGTTCTATTGCAGTTGTCCCTACTTGATATAAATGAAGTTTTTTGGCACTGTTTTTCAGTTGCATCATGTTTCTGACTACAGTATCTCTCTCTGATTTTGGTAGAAACAGGCTGCTGAGACAGAAATCCTTTTGGAATATCCAATATGTTGTCAGGGCCAAGCTGAAGGAAATCAGCAGCACGAAACAGATCAAAACGTGTTTTGCCTCTGTTGATGCAGTGCAGGCTGATATTTTGCAAATGTGGAGCAATCAAGGGGAAAAACCCAACAACTGTGGTATCCTGCCTCTGCCTGTAATGTGATTACCATCAAAGAGTGAAATGGAGGCAGCTGAAGGAACAAATCCAAACCTACCCTGAGACACCATGGCAACTGGCCACTCACAGGGACAGCAGGAAGCAGGGTTTGGCCATTTCAAAATAAAAATTGCTTTGAATGACCTTCTCCTGGCTGAGTGCTGGGTGCTTGCCTACAGCCTGATGGTCACAAGGAAAGTTATAAGATATTCAATCCATGTTACAATGTACACTGTAAGCCTGAGCCTTTAGGAAGCTGGAGAGAAAGAGGAGATTGTGGAAAATGCTTAAATATTTGGATACCACAGATATATTTATGCAGCAGGATGGAGGTACTGTTTACATGTTATCCATGGAGTGTAATTACAAGAATGTAAGATCTTGGGAATCAGAAGTATCTCTCTGTTCTGTAAGGTCAGTGAATAATGATAGTGCTGTGTCTGTCTATGAAATTTAGAAGTAATTTTGTGTACACGTTTTGTTCACAGCAGGGACTTGAGTTGCATTTCCATGCCAGCTTCTACATTATTTCTCAAAAGGCTTTATGTCAGAGAACAGTGCTTTTCAATAAAATACAGATTTCACATCTGGTGCAGCTAATAGATACTGTACTGAAAAACGTCCCTGATGAGTTACATCCACTTAAAATAAAAATACTTTTTCAGAATGATACATGCTCTATTTCTTCTTGAAACTTATCCTGCAAACTGAACCACCTGGATTACCATGGCTCTTGAGGATATCTCTTTTTTTTTTTTAAGTTTTCTTTTAGAGTGATTTGCATATTTACAGAGTTTTTAATTTTTAAAGAGGCTAAACTAGACTTGCAAATAAATAAATTAAAGTCTTTTAGCTGGGAAGAGTAATGTAAATCACTATTTAATTTCAGGTTGACCATGGAGATGCACCATCTGAAGCTAACAGTGAACCCAGGCCAACACCAGCAGAAAATGGAGTAAATTACACTGCCTCTCTTACACCGAAACCAGCAACTCAGGTTGTCCATAGCCAACCAACACCAGGTAAAAGTAAACCAAAAAAACAAGGGAAAACAAAGATAGCCCCATGCTTTCAAAATAAATCTGGATCATATGTTTGCATGTGCTTCATGTTTAAGGAACAAAGGGATATTTTGAATTTGCTTTGGTTTTATAAATTAGGTAGAAATTTTCCCACTGTTTTCATATTCTGCCAGGGCCAGTCTTCTTCAAATAAACAAATAACTTCTATGTAAGAGTGGCTTTTGTGGTGGAACTGAAGTGCATTATGAGCAAGAAAATTTACTGGAGTTTTTTTTATTGTTGCAAGTGCAGGAATCTCTTTAAATGGTTTTTATAAATATGCTTAATTTAGGCACGTAGTTCCATCTTACTCCACAAACAAACAGTCTTAGATACTTAGATATTTTGTATTGCCATATGCTTGTTAAGTGTGTTTAATTTTATGACTGCAGTCTACACAGGCTTGATCTGACTCCCAAGGAGCTGGATTCATCTTTGTACAGAAATTTTACACTGATACCATACTGTAGGGCAGTTGTACTAACTGTCAGCCTAATACCATGTAAATAACTTTTATGTGTGGTACCAGTGAGTTTACTAACACCCTCCTCATAAGTAACACAACAAAGCTCACATGGGTTTTTGGAAGCTCCTTTTCATGTTGGACCACAGGATTGGTGGTGTCTTCCATGTTGCTATTCTTCTGCTCAAGAGATGTGTTTTCTCAAACAATTAATAAAGGATAAATAATATGTTGTGTGTCACCTCCTGTGTTTTAATATGCAATCAAGCAGCACAATAATGGCTGTTGTTTTAGAAGAGTTAGAATTAGTTCTCTCTTTTACCTCTAGGTTCGGTGAAAGCACCTGCAAAGACAGAAGATCTTATTCAGAGTGTCCTCACAGGTAATAAATACATGTTTTACACTGCATCAATGATGCTTTTTTGTCAGGAAAAACATACATTTTATAAAGCTGGCCACCAGGCTTAGACATTTCTTTGAGTTATTAGGCCTGCAGTACCTCATTGAGAATGTAGATACCACGTTTTCTTCTTCAGCTTTGAAGTCATTAAATGTTTGAGCATGTTTCATTAGATCAGTATTGGGTGCCAACAGGGAATTTTTAAAAAATACTCCATTGTTGTAGTTTCACAAGCATAACATCATCATCTCATGCAGACAGAAGACCAGCATTATTATGAGGACAGAAGCTAAATTTGCTCTGAATATTGTGAACAGGAGTGAAACCATATTCTCTTCCTTAGACTTGCAGTGTTCCCATTGCTCCTACAAAACTGAAAGTGCCATTACATTTAGCAAGCTGCCCTGTCAGTTAGATAGTGCCCTGCTATTCAATTGGGAGTCACATCCTCCAGCGTGGAGTTAACGTTTAGACTGAAAATCTTTTAACTCTTTTTATTTTGTAAGCATTCTCCTATATTAGAGCCCACTCCATGTCCAAATCTTGGGTAGGCCTACATTTAGGGGTGGAAGACAGATAAGACACATTAAATTCTGCTTGTTGGTTGCCTTTTATGCTGTCTCCCTCATGTGCAGCAGAAAGAGGCTGGCTTAGGTTGTGGGAGTACCTGTTAGATACATACTATCAGTCTGTTGTCTGGGAAGGGGTCTCCAGTCTGGCTTTTCCAGTGCTGTGACTCCAGATCATGCAAGTCACCACACCCTTCAGTGCTGATTTTTGGTTTTTTTTAACTGCTGATCTGGTGCTGATTTCAGGTCAGGCCAGCAGACACTAAGCTCAAGCTGTGATCTGGGTTCACAGAGCAGAATACCCATCATAGCTGCTGTTGGACTGACAGCACTGGAGCACTGCTCCCAGCATTTAGCTGCTGATCCTTTGCTGGACTGACAGCCAGATGGCCACTCTTCTCATGCAGGGTCTCCATCAAGGGAGAAGTGAAGTGTCTCCCAAAATACCATGGTGATACCAAGACAGAGGCCTCCAGCCAATGCCCAGGTCGAGGAGGGGGGCAGGCAGCTGAAGTGCTGTTTGGGAAGAGGGTTTAGGCATCAGAATGTTACAAAGCCCACCAGAGAGAAGGGAGACTTGGTACAACAGGTACAAAGAAATCTGTGGTCGTATCTGTTGAAGATCATGTTGATGGAAATCTTTTACATCTGATGGACATTGAGGAAAGAAAGTACCTGGGTTTTATTTTGCTACACATCATGGTGTTCCAAATTTTCATCTCACTTCTTACTCTTCTATCAATTAAATTTGCCAGAGTGTTTTCCATCTGGTTGGCTTATTTCCAGAGAACTCTACTCAGTTATTTTAAGGTGGCACATTTCACTTGTCTGCAGTAAACAGCCTTGTGTCGTCTCATTGCTGCTCATGGCAGTTCCTTAGTTCTCTGATTGAAATCATGCCTTACTAGAAAACTGAAGTGGCTTTTGTTACTGTCATTGTAGAAGTGGAAGCACAGACCATTGAGGAGCTAAAACAACAGAAGTCTTTTGTTAAGCTTCAGAAGAAGCACTACAAGGAAATGAAGGACCTTGTGAAGAGGCACCACAAGAAAACCACCGACCTTATCAAAGAGCACACTGCAAAGTACAATGAAATCCAAAATGACTACCTGAGAAGAAGAGCAGTGTTAGAAAAAACAGCAAAGAGGGACAGTAAGAAAAGGTATGTTGAACATAGCTTGCCCATTGTTGGTTTTGGAGATCTTTACTCAAGTTTTCTTCTATAGTAGACAATTAATACAGAGGTGACATTAGAGCAGAGAAAAAAATCAAAAGCAGCAAGAAGTTGGGGCCTTTGATATGGAAATGATCAGGACAAAGCCTTCTCAATGGTGTGTGCTGCTTCTCTGCTGGAGCTTAACCACAGACTGTGAGAGGGGACATCCCCTACATACTGGAACAGTTTGGAGACCAGACTGCAGCATGAAAGAACTCAGACTGCTCTGGATAAAGTGTTTTACTTTCCTACTCAGGTCAACTGCAGCACATTTTTATTGGAGCACCCTCTCTTCCATGCTGACCTCCTTTAGGAGGAAGAATATCAGTTCCATGGAAACTCTTGCCCCACACTTAATAATATAACTTTATAATGTATCTCCTTTTTCAAGCAAGGAGAAGTTCAGGAGTTTTTGCAGCCAGCACGCATGGTCATCCTGCCTGTATTAAACAATTGGTTTAACATAGTTTTTAACATAATTTTTGAAAAAGAAATTAGGTAAGTACAAAAGTCCTTTAACTTTCACCTAAAATTGATGTAGCTACAGTTCTTAAATATGAAGACATTTAATAAACATTAAAAAAATTACTTGATACTTCTTGGTAGGATTCCATCAGAGAAAAAAGCCACAAGCATGCTCTGGCTGCCAACCTTGTTGATAGTACCTCTAAATGTAAGTGACTGGGACTTGGGCCATAACTTGTCCCTAGGAAGAAGCTTATTCATTTATGCTTGCCTGATGACAGAATGTCATTGGGCTTAATAAGAGCTTAACACTCATAATTTATCTGTGTTCAGCTGGCTTTAACTGTTGCCAGCTCTCAGGCTTCCGGGCTCTGCACTTGAGTTTAACAATCTCCCTGAATTACTAGTTGTCAACTTCACACAGTGATATTTTATCTGCTGTATTTTCCATCATCATCATGCATGACAGATAGCAGCAGACAAAACAACGTCGTGTTTCTTTCTTTTCTCTAGCATATTCTATTAAAAATTTAAGCAGAAAATCAAACTGAATAAATAAAATGACTCATTTATCTTTGAGTAAAAAGTTGGGTTTTTTTAATTGTGCTATGATCTGACCATAAATCATTCATGATGTCAGGCAATAAAACCCTGCAGTCTATTACGTGGAGCTGTCTCAGTGATTTCAGAGATGTGAAGGTTTTTTTTTGTGCAGACACAGAGAAATCTGAAGGTTAAAAAATCTTAGGGTGAATTTTAAAAGGGCAGGAATATATTTTCAGAGCTTTGCAAACTTGAAAGTATGTATTATCTCAAGCAGCAGACTTCTGATGGAATACTGCGTCCCAACAAAAAAGGTCATTTTTATAATTTTAAAATATTACTGAAGCTATTGGCATGTAACTGCAAAGTATAAATCACTGCTTCATCAGGAGTCCTTCTATCAGATTGCCATAAAAATATGTTGTTTGTGGCCATGTTTTGTGCCCAGGTCTAAAATTGGGCCAAGATTCAGTAAAACCATTGTCTATAGGAGGCTTGAAATATTGCTATGATTTATTTACACACAGGCACAAGAGTTTTACTGGTGGCGTTCTGAATTTTGATGATTATGTCCCTTCAAAGACTGTCTTACTATTTTAGCCAGTATAGGCCTTATTTCTTTTCCCCAAAAATACAAGAGAAATGTCAGCTTTAAAATGTATAGTGTAATAGCATAATATGCTGACTTTAATATTCATTATTGCTGTCTGTCTTCTGGCTCTGTATTTAAATTATCCTCACCTCTCACACTGACACCACTTAAACTCTAAGCAGAATATTCAAATACAATAAAAATCCAAGAAATAGAGAGAGGCTACCTTGGGGTTTGTTTCCTCAGGCCGGTGAAAGGAGCTTCACATTATTTCAGTTGAGGTAACTCTGAACTGACAGCAGCTGTAAACTTGACTTGGGAGAGAGAAGAGAGGCAGCCAGTGTAGCAAGTTCTCTGCATTGTGATCTCTGCAAATTTCTGAGTAGCAAACTCGTTTTTCTCCCAGTGCTGGCCCTGTCCAAGGTTGTGCTGTTTTGTCCATCTCAGGCACTGTGTTGAAGTTTCCCTGGCAACTGATTTGACACCCGAGTACAGCAATAAACACAGCAGCAGAGCAGAGACACAGCATAATTTTGTAATTATTATTATTTTTCTTGGCGTTAGCTTAGTGCTGGCCTGAGAGTGATACTGCTTTTGCTGCTTATTTTTAACTTGAGCAGTTTAATGTCATCATGTCTCCTTTCACAATTACATCTATCCTTCCTTCTGTCTTAAGGAAGGAAAAAAAACCTCACCAAACTGTTTCGTAGTGTTGCTTTTTAGCTTCCTCATTATATTTTTCCTTTGCTCCTCTGTGCTGCCTTTCTGAGCTTTACTGGGGTGTTAACTCTCCTCCTAAAGCAGGCAGTCCACAGAGCACTCTCCTCTGTGTGTGCTATGCGTGGTATTTCCTGAAGGGGGTGAGAAAATACCAAATAAAGGGATGTTCCTACCATTTGAAGTATTTTATAAATGCAGATGTAAAGTTAGGCTTTTAAATGTGTTGCTAAGTGCATGCAAGGATGACTCGGTTTTCAAAATACTTAGAATTCAACATTTCTGCTGAGGACTGTGCTGCTTTGAAGTTCAAGTTCCATGTGTGGAAGTGGATAAACAAGTTCCATGGGCATCTGCTTATGGGGAATCTTGACAGTTACATTTATAGCTCATATATGCTAAGTCTGGTTCACACAACTATGATGGGTTAATTAAATGCATTTTAAAAGCAATAGCCATCCCGTTAATAAACTGTTAATATTTTTTTTCCCTAAATATTAAATGATTTGACTTATTAGAGCTAAAATCATCTTCTGACCCTGTATGTGGTGCTGAGAAACTTCTTATTGGGCTACATATAACCACCTGCCTTAAAAGCAAGGTTTAACTATGGGGCAGAGTGTCCGTGCCTAGTCACCAAGAGCTTAGCAGTGTGTGTGTCTTTGCAGATCCGAAACGGGCAGCCCAGACCACAGTTCTTCAACCATTGAACAGGAATTAGCTGCACTGGACTCTGAAATGACCCAGAAGCTGGTGGAGCTGAAGGAGAAGCAACAACAGCAGCTGCTAAATCTCCGACAGGAGCAGTACTACAGTGAAAAGTACCAGAAACGAGAGCACATTAAGCTGGTACGTTTGTTATGTCATCTGCTTTTCTTTAGCAGTCTCAGGGTGAGTAAGGAAAGCAGCTTGACATTATAAAGTGGGGCTTCCTCTTACTTGGAGTCCATTTCAGAGCTTGATTTCCCTGTGGTCTGCTGCAACTTCAAGGGGTTGTTTTGTCACTCTGTCACTAACACTTGTAACAGCTTGGACGGCTTTGGATGGAAGGCAGAAAGGCAACAGGATTATTACTGCTGCTAACACAGAGACCTTACCTCTAGTTACGTAAGTCTCACTTCACTGCAGCTTTTGGATGATGTTCCTGTTTTGTTTTGTCACTTCTTTAAACATACAACACTCAAGGAGGCAGGATTAGCTGGAAAATAAATTGAAACGCTATGAAAATAAATGAAAATAGAATCAAACGTTCCCCAGGGCACAGTGTTGTGCCGAACAGTGTTCCTGGTGCAGATGGATGCTTTAAGGGGAAGCAGGACACAATCTGTGTATGGTGAAGGAGTATTTTGTGTCCATCAGCCTAAGCCAGCTTGTGTTTTTACAACTGGAGTTTGGCTGACAACTACAGAAGGATCATTGACCCTCTGAGCTGAAGCAGAGGAGCTTGGGCAGATGGCAACTGATGCTGATGGATATTCTCAGGCAGAAAAAAACATTTTTTAAAGGCTGTTGTGGGAGTGCAAACTGATTCTCAACTCCAGACAACCCTCTCTCACAGTTTTTTTTCTATTACATGATGTTTTGCCTCACTGCTGTTGGGTGATTTGTCTGCTCTGCCCTGCTGTCCTAAAAGGGCAGGTCAGAGGAGTGGTACATGTGGATATCCCTCAGCAAGGCCTTTTCAGAAATTCCTTCCTGTGGATCAGAGCACAGAGCTGCAGTTCATTGTAAAATGGGACATGGCATTTCTCAAAGCAGCTACACTTTCAGCATTGGCCACTTAGGTAGTGTAAAATTCATGTATTAGCACAGAACCTTCAGACACTTTTCCCTTTGAGCTGTGCAGGAGTTAATACTCCAATTAAAGTGTCCCTGGCAGCTGAGAGATCCTCTCTGATGTCATTCTTTTAGAGGAGAGCCTATTGTCTGTATCTTTTTTCTTTTATCTAAGGAATGAAAAGCTGGATCAGACTAGCTAGGCATTATTATACAGTCTCTGAGAGGATTACTTTACAGAAGCAGACTTAAACTAGAGGGGTGATCAAACCCAATAGGGCCCATTTCCCACTTTAATTCACCATTCATTGAACTTGCAGACAAGAGCTGTCCACATGTCCTCTCCCATCAGCATCACCACCACAAGCATGCTTTTCTGCTAGCAGTTTCAGAACAAATGAGGTTGGACCCAGCTCTGCACAGCAGATTTCAAAGCAAGGACTCAGATTTTTTGCATCCAGGATTCTGATATCAAAATGCAGGCTATGATTATCTATGCTTAGCTTTCTTTGCTCTTCTGTGTGAATTTTCAACATCCACCTCACCACTCTGAAATCCAAGCTGCTCCATGGAATAATGCTCAGTGCAACACTTTCAAGTCTGCTACAGACATTTGAGGAAACTTAGATGCATGCATGATGTGTAGCTGAAAATAGCTATTTTGTTTCTTTTGTTTATTTTTTTTTTTCTTTTAATAGCTTATTCAGAAGTTGACAGATGTAGCAGAGGAGTGTCAGAACAGCCAGCTAAAGAAACTGAAAGAAACCTGTGAAAAGTAAGGTGCTATTCTCCTTATAATTGAATACTACTCCCTGTGGGTTTTGTTTATGTACTTTTTGAACTGGACTTTACTTTTTATGCTTTAGAGAAAAGAAAGAGTTGAAGAAAAAAATGGACAAGAAGAGGCAGGAGAAGATCACAGAAGCAAAGTCCAAGGATAAAAATCAAATGGAAGAGTAAGTATATCCCTATCACCTGTTATGAGGAGACAAGTTTTTTTTCACAACTGGAAAATCAAAGAAAGTTCTCAACCCTAAAAATAAGTAATTTAATTTCTGGGATTAATGTAATCTCCTGTTCTGTGAGCATGGAGAGCCTGGGTCAGCAGCAGAGATGCTGTGTGGGATGGGACATGCCTGAGTGGCAGGAGAGATGCTGTTAATCCAGACACTGGTCCTCTGGGCACAAATACAGTCAGTGGCTTCAGTTCCTGCAGGATTTGGTTTCACCTGAATTTGGGTTTCTATTTGTGAGTTATCTTTGCTTCTTAACTCTGTTAAAGCTGCTCTCCAGAAGAAGCAGAAGCAACACACTGGATGGTTTGCTCTGCTTCAGGGGTAGATTCCCCCCAGAGGCTGTGCTGCTGATCTCCTCCAGTCAGTGTTAGGCAGCGTGCAGTCACTTCAAGTGGCAGAGAGGGGAGAGCTGAGCTGAGGGTGCAGTGTCTCTGAACAGGGACAGGAATATTGATTTCATTTATGCACCACCAGACAATACAAGCCGTAGCAGTGCAAGTTGATTATATTCTTCCCAAGGGCACAAGATCTAGGTTTGTTTGTCCTCCTTCATTTGTTTTGGCAAGCAGTTCAAAAAGAAAATGGAGCATTTTAATCTTGCACTGTTTGCTCAGATATTCTTGTTATCAGTCTTGATTTCAGTTAACATATAAGGACAGTTAAAAACACAGGAGGAACAAAAAAAAAAAGAAAAATCTAGAATATCTGAGTTTTACCAAGTCACAAAGAGACAAGTATGTTTGGTTTTCTACAGGTCAAAAGGTTTTGGAGCCTCTCAACACCAATGTAAAATCTGTGTATTCAGTTACACTGTAAGAAGGTCACTCACACACAATGATCTGCATCAGATAATTTAAGAATCAATAATAATTGATGATGAGAAAAGGGAGAAATACTTGATATCGTTAGAACTGATCAGAGGGTGTGGAAATCATTAGAAAAAAGTAGTCATTACAAAAACACTATAGCAGTAAAAATCAATTTTAGTAGGAAATGCTGAGAGGTTGATGAGACAAGAGTGAGAAAGGCTCAGAAACAGACAAGCAGAAATTCTTTTTTTTTCTTTTATTCTTTTCTCATTTTTCTCAAGGGCTTTCCTTTGCCAGGCTTTTCAAAGAGCCCTTGGGAAGAGAAACTACACAGGAAACTCAGCTCTCCTGTGTCAAGTGACAGGGTTTGTCCTCGCTCTTGCAGTAGGACAGAGAGCAGCAAGACCTGATGAATCCCCTGTGAGTTGTCTGAGCTAGGCTGCTGTTTACTTAAAGTTTTTACACATGTTTGGGAAAGAACATTACATAGAGATAATATATTGTAATAATTGCTCTTCCTTAATTTTTCTAATTCTTAACATGCAACCAGGTGTTGTTTATCTACCTATACCCATCAGATTTTAGTGCCACCAGAGCAGCAATTCACTGTGCTTGACTTAGGCAATTAGTTTTTAGAGTACTGTCCTGAACCTGCTCAACTCAGGTAGCCACAAATTGTTATTTTATGTGCATTTATCCCTTTGTGGGATCTCATCTTCAGCCTTTGACCAATGGTTACTGAGTAACTATCTCACAGAGTCACTTAAAGTTCAAATATTTCCTCCAAGTTCAGCTTTCCATAGCAAAGCTGAGGACCAAAGTCAGGTCTGCCCTGCTCTGTGTGAGAACTTTGCCATTGCCTCTGAGATGTCACCTCTGCTTGCTGACAGAGCTGTCTCTGCTCACTGACACAGACTATTTCTCTACTACACAATGTGCCACGATGTGGCAGTGTGCATCTGCTGATGACAGCATCCTCTCCTTGACTGACTTTTGGGCATTCAGAAACCAAGAGGTGGCAGTACCCTCTGTGGAAAGCCTGTTGTGAAAGAGCAGGGGGGTTGTTGCTGTAGTTCATGGGGAAGTCTGAGCCCTTTGTACAACAGAGATGCAGCCTGTTGCAAAAGGCACACTTGGGAGGTGGATAATAGTTAAGCAGGCAGATCCCTGCATTCGAAACAGAGCTTTTCTTACTTTGTGAGGGATTAAGATACATTGCTGTGATCCTGCTGACTCCAATAACTTGTTGACTGCTTCTCCCCAGAGAGAAGACTGAAATGATTCGGTCGTACATCCAGGAGGTGGTGCAGTACATAAAAAGGGTATGTCAGGCCACATTTGTTTTTCATTCTAGGGGGTAAAATGTCCACTTTCATACTTCAGGTCCTATTAAACTGCAAGATCTAAGCTTTGGTATAAAGATTCTGCAGGTGCTGATTTTTAACAGATGCAATGTAGACCTCTCTTCCCATGCCAGTTAAATGAAAACTGGGATTTCAGACAGATCCTCATTAATTATTAGTCAGTGTTCAGGGCTGGTCCTGAGAGGGGCAGATTTTAATACAGTTATGATTTTGTCTTTGAATATGCTATGTTTATTCAAGGAAAATGTAATAATTTTTTTAATTGGCTTACTGTCTCATGAATGCAAAGATTGCATAAGGAACTTTGAAAGTCAATAAACGTTAAATTGCAGGGTATATTTTTACTTTAATTATATTTGCACAGTTACTGAAATGCACAAGACATTCAATGAGCTTGGTAAATACAAGTCAAAGGATTTCATTACAGGTGTTAGCTTTTCTGAAAGTATAGGTGATTTATATGCACAGCAGTGTGTTGATGTGTGAGATCTCTATGAAACATAAGCCACTATTGAATTTTCTCTCAATTTCAGTGCAGAGAAAGTTCAGCTCCCAAGTTAGCCTGTTTTTGCTCACAGAGGCCTTGGTTCAGGAAGCAACCTAAAGAATTGACAAAGTAAGTGTACTTAAGGCCTGCTGGAGTCAGCCACATGTCAGAGTGCTTTAAATGAGGCCCAAAATTTATTAGCATGCTCATTTAGGACTCTGGGATGCAAATCCATTTCTTCTGGGAACGTGGTCCATATTGCACAGCTTGTACAATAAAAGTTAAAGCAAAATAATATGATGTTTTAAAATGCATTATGCTTTCAGTAGCATTGGAAGTCTACCATAACTCCTTTAGACATCTCTGACTAACTCCCATGTGTGAAATCTGAGATATATTGTCCGCAGACAACTGTTAGAGCAGCAGTGCTCAGGAATGCTTGTGCCAATGCTGTGTGAGTTTATGTCAGAATTAGTCATAGTTTGGATGACAACATTTTAATTTTGATTGATGAAGTATTAGGGGAAGACGTGGGAAACTGAGGATGTGCAATCTCTGACAAAAGATTCTCTGCTGTTTTCTTATAGCTAGAAGATGCTCAGAGTAAAAGACAGGAGAAACTTGTAGAAAAACACAAGGAGATTCGGCAGCAAATACTGGATGAAAAGCCCAAGGTAAAGAGATTTTGAACATATGTTATACTGCTAAAAAATGTCCTTGAGGAAAGAAGGTGCTCTTACTGCAGGTAGGCTGGCATTTAAACCTGAGCAAGCCCATTCATAGCATCAGAGCCATTGTCTCTACTATTCAGCATGGAAACAAAAAAGTCAAGTAGCAGCCTAGTATGGAGCACCACTTCAAACACAGATGTCATAGAACGGGGTTTGTTTTTTAGTACTCATGCTGTTAAAAAGCTTCCAGTGTAAATGGTGCTTCTGCCCAGCAGAGTGTGCCCTGCTCTCCATTGTGCCTCAGCACTGACAAAACAAAACACAGTTTACAGTGAAAAGAAAAAGAGATATCTTTTTAGCATGCTTGCCGCAGATCTGTGTGATAATTGCTGAGGATATATTTATGTGGAAAATAATGAGCTTCTTCATAACAATAGTGCTTAATGTTCTACACTGCTTGCTGGATTTTCCCTCTTTGAGTTTGTGCACTGCATCTACATGTTCTGTTCTGAAATACAGTTTTTGATCCTAAAGATTGCGGGCTGACTTTTGCTTCTAGTGAAGCTGATGATAGTTTTGCCATTGACTTCAGTGGAGAACGTTCAGGGTCCTCCAGTAGCACACTGTTTTTCTGTAGGAAGACCTAGGTAACTATAAAATTTGAATTATGTGGGGAGAGGGACTTGTTTTCAGCAGAGTTCATATCCAAGTATGATTCTGCACAGCCCATTGTGTCATGTCTGCTTTCAGTTTTTCTGCACTTGCTCAGATGTGTGTTCAAGGCTTCACTTTTCATTTGTCTGTGTCCACAGTCCTGATGCTTCTGTGCTTGTATTACAGCTTGAGTTCTAGCATTGGGTGTGAGCTAATCAGTGTTGTCATGTCATTTCTGTGAAATATCCAGAGAATAAAATAGGTTAAGGTCTGAATCAGTAGAAGTTCACAATACTTTTGAAAAACAAAAATGTTTCCACTTCTGATTTTCTACTTATCTTCTTAAAATCATGTTTATAAATAAGCTGGAACTTTTTGATATCATGGGCATCTGGGTGTAGAGACTGTACACAATAGTATGGTTTATATTTGATGCTGTAGGATCATGAGCTTCTCAGGGACACGAGCTAAAAAGACTGGAATTGAAATGCTGGAATTTTAAAAGTCAAAGAATAATCTGCTAGTACTTCTATCACTGGCTTTTCACGAGTACTTGGGCACTTGATTACTTCTCTCTGTGTCATTTTGTGTTTTTTTCCTTGGTGTTTTTTATCTGTTTTTTTCCTCATGGATTTTCTGAGAAGCAGCATAAAGCACTGAGGATGTGTCACTAAGGACTTGGGTTGCATTGTGAAAGGTTGTGCAGGACCAGTAGAGTTGGAGCCTTCCATCAGCTGTCCACGTGCCAAGCGTTAGGTCAGGGCAGAGAGCAGCTCCAGGTCCCTTCTCTTCCCCTGCATCTGGCCATCAGTTACAGCACTGCAGCACTCAGCACTCCTCACTCACTGCTCCATTGCTCCTGAGAAAGCCCTCTGCAGAGATGTGCCTCACAGGGCCTGCCTGCAGGCTCCATGTTTTGTGCCTTTCCACATGCTGAAACGGGCAGACTTCACTGGATTTATGATGTATGTGCCTCTTGCTGGCACGAGAGGGTTTGGGCAAAACATAATTGCTCATTTTATTAAGTCCCTTTTTATGTTTTGCTTCGTGTTGGTATTTCACGTTCGTATTTGCTTCCTTAGTGACAGGGCACATGATATCAAATAGATTAAATGATTTCCCAGATGAGAAGAACTGATGTATTTTATGCAAAGGGCAGCTTTTTTTTTAACAGGCTAGTCTCCAGTGCTTCAGTATTCAAATACCCACTAAAATTTGTTAGCTGTGTTAAAAGGGTTTTCTGGCAGTACCAACCCCTAAACAAATGGTTTACTACATTAAGAGCGAAAGAGTTTTTAGTATTCTCACCAATAATTCCACTGGAGACAGATTTGCCATCATCAATCACTGTCATTTGGTTATTTATTACTGACTCCCAGTTTGTTGTGTTAGGACTTTGTGCACAGAGCTCTGTCACAGCCAGGAAGAATATTGTTGCACAAAGTCTTGCCAACAGACTGCCACACCAGGGAGCTTTGGGTTGTTGTGTTGTTTTGGTTTATTTTTTAAAGTAGGCGTTTGCAGCTTCCTCTGTTGCAGTGCGTGTGTAAGTCACCAGAGGAACATTCACCTCAAAGTGCTGACATTTTAGACAACAGCTTTTAGAAGCTGCACAAACTGGATGCAGGTTAGTCCCCTGTTGTGGAGGTAGAGGGCTTGCTTTTCATTTAAAATACCATGTGTTTAGATAAAAATACTTAACACAGGACTGATTTACACCCTTAAAATCTGCCTCTCCCTCACATACGTAATTTCTGTTTAATGTTTGGATGTGAGACTTTTTTTCAGCTTTCATTTGCAGGGCTATTGTATAACAACAGTTCTTCAGATTTTTTTCTCATGTAAGAGTTGGAGATTTTGCTTCCTGAACTGATACTTTTAGGCAAAAGGTTGTAAATAGTTCTTCAGCTTCTTGTGGGCCTGCTGAAGTCAGTGTAGGCATTGGCTGTAGGGAGCCCAAAATGTCATACTGTATCTGTAAGTACTGAGAATATGACAAACTAATCTGATGCTGTAGGAACTAAAAATTGAGTGTTAATATCAACTGTATGAGTATGTGTATGGCAGCAGGCCAGCCACTCCCACAAACATGTTTGGAAAAGGAGATTATCACCTAATTAAGAAGTCAAATACTGACTGACTTTAGGTCAAAAAAATTCTAGCTTGCCATTGTAGTGCAAGCACAGTGGAAACAAAAGTTCAGATGCTCTCCTGCCACTATCTTTTTCCTAACCAAAATCATTACCAAGCAAGGCTGGATGTATTTTCTCTCACTGCTGCTTTTTTTTTACATTATCTACTGGCAGCTTTATTATCAGCAGCAGCTTGTATTTTCTTCTCCCTCATACAAATTCTTTGTCTCCTCAGTCATTGATACACAGTAAGCTTGTCCTGTCCTTATCTTCCTCCCCTTGGGCATCTCTTCTGCTGGTGCTGTGGAGGCTGCTGTGGAAAGACAGCTCTTTACAGTGCAGTACTGAATTCTGGATGTTACAGCAGTGTGTGATTTTAGATTCTCCACTACAATGTGTGTCTGGCACTTGTCATCTAAGCACAGAGGGCTGCTTCAGGGATGGGCATGGCCACTGCATCTCTATTTCTTTGTCTTTGACAGCTTGTGCATCAAATTAAGCATAAATCAAGTGCATTTCCTTCCCCTCCACCCTTGCCTCCAATTTTGTTGTAATTACAAAAATCAATACATATGAGACATGACAAGGAATTAATTATTTCTTCTAAGAATCAACTGAGCTACAGTAAATAGATCCAATCCTCTTCTGACTGAAATCAATGTGACTTTTGCTATTCATGCTCATGGGTCAGTTACACTTAAATCTCAGTGTAAGAGCTGAGACTCCTGTGCTCTTGCAGTCAGCTCCTGCTCCCAGCCAAGCTCACCAGACTCTTTGGGCTTTGGTGGACCATACTGGTACAGCCCCAGCTGTCTTGGAGGGTGTCACTCCCCTGGTTCCTTGTTTTGTAGCCCATGTTCATGTCTCTGCTCACACCTACTCTCCTGTTCACAACCCCAGCTTAGCCAAGCCCTGTCAGGTGGTTTGGGCTCCTGCAGAGATGTGGGAAATGTTGCTGCTCAGGGTGAGGAAAAAAATCTATGGGAAAAGGTCCAACAGATCTACAGAGGCATCATAAATTGTGCAAACTTTCTTCCAAGTGTTGCATCTCTGTGGTCTCGAAAATGAATGAAGAGAATACAGCCTTCAGGTATAACGTTCCTTTTTGTTAATGAAAACATAATGAAAACAGGTTTTTAAAATTATAAATCAGTTTTTGATAATGGAAAATAGAAGTCTGATGCATACTAACTCACTTTCAAAGAACGGTATAATGTTCCTTTTTGTTAATGAAAACATAATGAAAACAGGTTTTTAAAATTATAAATCAGTTCTTAATAATGGAAAATAGAAGCATCTGATGCATACTAACTCAAAGAACATACATTTATTATCTCCCATTTGACATGTCTTATTTAATTGTATCTGGTGGGAGTCAACACTTCTACATCCAATCAATAATTATTACTAGCACTATACCTGAAAAATTGATGGGGTCATAAAATGATACAGATTCAAGTTATAGATCAAATTAATAAGATGCTAATCCTTTACAGCAGTAAGCCTCTCATAACTCCAGGGTCTTCTTTCCATACATAGGGCTGGAAGGGACCTCCAAGGTCTTTCTCCTCAGGGCTGAATGCTTTTACAAGCAATCACAAGTTGTGTAAGCCTGTTACTGAGACAGTGCTGGACAATGACTTCTTCTTTCTGAGTATCATTTAATTGAAGATATTTGAAAACCCACAGAATGATTTAATAGATTCCAGATCAATGCTTTCTGATTTCTTACAACATCTAGAAGCACATTGATCTGTGCAAAGGTTACACGTGCCTCAGGTAAAACTTTGTGGTCATCTTCATGCAGATCATGTCGTTGAGTTAAACAGGGCTGTTGCTGACAAGAGGGTCAGCAGTTAACACTGCTCTCACTTTAGAAAGAGTCAAATTCAGCAAATGTGTTTTACAGCACTTTTAGATTTTATTTCAGTTAACCTCAGAGCCACTCTATTAGCTCATCTGGAAGAGAGCAGCTCTTAAGAACTTTGATGACTATTCCAGTGTCATTTCAGCTCACTGCATAATTCACAGCAACAATGCACTGTCCACCATGATCCCTTTTTATCCTTTACACCTCTGTAGGAAGCCAAACTGTCTTTTGGGCTAGCTGCACTTATTCAAACACTTCCAAATGCATTCCAGTTCAACCACGGGCAACTCATCAAGAATTCTGGGGAAGGAGTTTGGCAGAAAAGGTTATTTCAGTTTACTGAGTTT